CTTCTCACTGTGATTTCCACAGTGAGAGCATGCAAGCGTCCATAGGAAAGCATTGTAAATGCTTTCCTATGCGACGGGCTGAATGCGCGCGCAGCCCTTGCCGCGCGTGCGCATTCAGCCCAGGAGGAGGAACGGAGGAGGAGAGAAGGCAGAGAGCTCCCCGCCCAGTGCTGGAAAAAGGTAAGTTTTAAGCCTTTTCCCCTTTCCAGAGCCGGGCGGGAGGGGGACCCTGAGGGTGGGGGCACCCTCAGGGCACTATAATTACCAGAAGCCAAGTATATTTCCACTATATGTCCTTAGTATGTATTTGGTAGTAGTGTGGGAGCCATGCTGATACATAGATGAAGTATGTGTTGGTGGTAGTGTGGGCCATGCTGATACTCTAAGTATAGTATGTAGTGGCCAGTGTGAGCCATGCTTATACTATAGATAGTATGTTGGTGGTAGTGTGCGGCCTGATACTCTAGAGTATAGTAGATGGTAGTAGTGTAGAGCCATGCTTGCCTATAGATGAAGTATGTGTTGGTGGCCAGTGGCAGGGCCATGCTGATACTCTAGGTATAGTATGTGGTAGTAGTGTGGGGCCATGCTTACATACTATAGATGAAGTATGTGTGTTGGTGGTAGTGTGGGGCCATGCTGATACTATAGATGAAGTATGTGTGGTGGTAGTGTGGGGCCATGCTGATACTATAGATGAAGTATGTGTTGGTGGTAGTGTGGGGCCATGCTGATACTCTAAGTATAGTATGTGGTGGTAGTGTGGGGCCATGCTGATACTATAGATGAAGTATGTGTTGGTGGTAGTGTGGGGCCATGCTGATACTATAAATGAAGTATGTGTTGGTGGTAGTGTGCGGCCATGCTGATACTCTAAGTATAGTATGTGGTGGTAGTGTGGGACCATGCTGATACTATAGATGAAGTATGTGTTGGTGGTAGTGTGGGGCCATGCTGATACTCTAGGTATAGTATGTGGTGGTAGTGTGGGGCCATGCTGATACTATAGATGAAGTATGTGTTGGTGGTAGTGTGGGACCATGCTGATACTATAGATGAAGTATGTGTTGGTGGTAGTGTGGGACCATGCTGATACTATAGATGAAGTATGTGTTGGTGGTAGTGTGGGGCCATGCTGATACTCTAGGTATAGTATGTGGTGGTGGTGGGGGCCATGCTTATACTATAGATGAAGTATGTGTTGGTGGTAGCGTGGTAGTGTGGGTCCATGCTGATACTCTAGGTATAGTATGTGGTGGTAGTGTGGGGCCATGCTGATACTATAGATGAAGTATGTGTTGGTGGTAGTGTGCGGCCATACTGATACTCTAGGTATAGTATGTGGTGGTAGTGTGGGGCCATGCTAATACTATAGATGAAGTATGTGTTGGTGGTAGTGTGCGGCCATGCTGATACTCTAGGTATAGTATGTGGTGGTAGTGTGGGGCCATGCCATGCTGATACTCTAGGTATAGTAGGTGGTGGTAGTGTGGGGCCATGCTGATACTATATGATGAGTAGTGTGTGTGTTGGTGGTAGTGTGGGGCCATGCTGATACTCTAGGTATAGTATGTGGTGGTAGTGTGGGGCCATGCTGATACTATAGTATAGTATGTGTGGTAATGTGGGGCCATGCTGATACTATAGATGAAGTATGTGTTGGTGGTAGTGTGGGGCCATGCTGATACTCTAGGTATAGTATGTGGTGGTAGTGTGGGGCCATGCTGATACTATAGATGAAGTATGTGTTGGTGGTAGTGTGGGGCCATGCTGATACTATAGGTATAGTATGTGGTGGTAGTGTGGGGCCATGCTGATACTCTAGGTATAGTATGTGGTGGTAGTGTGGGGTCCATGCTGATACTCTAGGTATAGTATGTGGTGGTAGTGTGGGGCCATGCTAATACTATAGATGAAGTATGTGTTGGTGGTAGTGTGGGGCCATGCTGATACTCTAGGTATAGTATGTGGTGGTAGTGTGGGGCCATGCTGATTCTATAGATGAAGTATGTGTTGGTGGTAGTGTTGGGCCATGCTGATACTCTAGGTATAGTATGTGGTGGTGGTGGGGGGCCATGCTTAAACTACAGATGAAGTATGTGTTGGTGGTAGTGTAGGGGTCCATGCTGATACTCTAGGTATAGTATGTGGTGGTAGTGTGGGGCCATGCTGATACTATAGATGAAGTATGTGTTGGTGGTAGTGTGGGTCCATGCTGATACTCTAGGTATAGTAGATGGTGGTAGTGTGGGGCCATGCTGATACTATAGATGAAGTATGTGTTGGTGGTAGTGTGCGGCCATGCTGATACTCTAGGTATAGTATGTGGTGGTAGTGTGGGGCCATGCTGATACAATAGATGAAGTATGTGTTGGTGGTAGTGTAGGGGTCCATGCTGATACTCTAGGTATAGTATGTGGTGGTAGTGTGGGGCCATGCTGATACTATAAAAGGTAGTGTGTGTTGGTGGTAGTGTGAAGCCATGCTGATACTCTAGATGTAGTGTGTGTTGGTGGTAGTGTAGGGGTTCTTCCTGATACTCTAGGCATAGTGTGTTGTGGCAGTGTTTGGGGCCATGCTGATACTCTAGATGTAGTGTGTGTTGGTGGTAGTGTAGGGGTTCTTCCTGATACTCTAGACATAGTTTGTTGTGGCAGTGTTTGGGGCCATGCTCTATATGTAATGTGTGGTGGTAGTGTGGGGCCATGCTGATACTATAGATGAAGTATGTGTTGGTGGTAGTGTGGGGCCATGCTGATACTCTAGGTTTAGTATGTAGTGGTAGTGTGGGGCCATGCTTATACTATAGATGAAGTATGTGTTGGTTGTAGTGTGGTAGTGTAGGGGTCCATGCTGATACTCTAGGTATAGTATGTGGTGGTAGTGTGGGGCCATGCTGATACTATAGATGAAGTATGTGTTGGTGGTAGTGTGGGGCCATGCTGATACTCTAGGTTTAGTATGTGGTGGTAGTGTGGGGCCATGCTTATACTATAGATTAAGTATGTGTTGGTGGTAGTGTGGTAGTGTAGGGGTCCATGCTGATACTCTAGGTATAGTATGTGGTGGTAGTGTGGGGCCATGCTGATACTATAAATGTAGTGTGTGTTGGTGGTAGTGCGAAGCCATGCTGATACTCTAGATGTAGTGTGTGCTGGTGGTAGTGTAGGGGTTCTTCCTGATACTCTAGACATAGTGTGTTGTGGCAGTGTTTGGGGCCATGCTGATACTCTATATGTAATGTGTGGTGGTAGTGTGGGGCCATGCTGATACTACAGATGTAGTCTGTGGTGGTAGTGTGGGGGCATGCTGATACTATAGATGTAGTCTGTGGTGGTACTGTGGGGCCATGCTGATACTACAGATGTAGTGTGTGGTGGTAGTGTGGGGCCATGATGATACTACAGATGTAGTGTGTGGTGGTAGTGTGGGGCCATGATGATACTACAGATGTAGTGTGTGGTGGTAGTGTGGGGCCATGATGATACTGCAGATGTAGGGCAGATGTAGGGCCATGCTGTGGTGGTTGCAGTGTGTAAAGCTATGCTAATACTCCTGATGTAGTGTGTGGTGGTGGTGGTAGTGTTGGGCCATGCTGATACAGCAGATGTAGTTAGTTTTTTATAGTAGTGTGGGGCCAGGCTGATACAATAGATGTAGTGTGTGGTGGTTGCAGTGTGTAAAGCTATGCTAATACTCCTGATGTAGTGTGTGGTGGTGGTACTGTGGGGCCATGCTGATACTACAGATGTAGGGCAGATGTAGGGCCATGCTATGGTGGTTGCAGTGTGTAAAGCTATGCTAATACTCCTGATGTAGTGTGTGGTGGTGGTGGTAGTGTTGGGCCATGCTGATACAGCAGATGTAGTTAGTTTTTTATAGTAGTGTGGGGCCAGGCTGATACAGTAGATGTAGTGTGTGGTGGTTGCAGTGTGTAAAGCTATGCTGTTACTCCAGATGTAGTGTGTGGTGGTAGTGTGGGGGCATGCTGATACTATAGATGTAGTGTGTGGTGGTTGCAGTGTGTAAAGCTATGCTAATACTCCAGATGTAGTGTGTGGTGGTAGGGTGTTTACGGTTTGTAAAATGAAAAAAGAGGACATACTCTTCACACATGAAGCAAGCTAAACTGTTTTAGGTGTTTGGAGTGTTACTTTAAATAAGTAGAAGAATATCCCGAAGGTACATCAGTGATTATTTCATTTATTGTCCATGGGGATTCTTCAAAAGGGCCGTAGCATTTCATACATTGCCCCATAGCTTCCTAAACTATTTTGCTATTAATTCTTCGTAAACTATCTGGAAACCAATCAGGTCAATCTGTCTGTGTTTGTTTGCAGGTTTTATCTGGCTCTGAGGCCAACAAATTAAACCAAATAAAACATTACCCCGAAAATGCAGCCAGAGAGAGAACCAGAGTCCGCACCCTTCGGCAGGCGTTTCTGTCCCTCCAGGCCGCCCTTCCATCTGTCCCACCTGACACCAAACTGTCCAAACTGGATGTGTTGATCTTGGCCACCAGTTATATTGCCCACCTCACACATACTTTGGACAAGGATGGAAATCTACCTGGCAGTTCAACCACTTACCCCCAGTTCCGCAGGGGCCCTGGATTTCTACACCCTATGAAGGTAAAGATGTGATATAGAAACCAGTTATCGATTATAACACATGTCTGTTGGGATGGTGAAATTCTCCTCTTCCTTGCTGAAGTCAGAAGAAAAATTGAGCTTAATCTAGATTAATACCCATATGCCCTCACTGCATATGCCCTCATTGCAAGTAATACCTGACACAACCTGTAAAAAAGATACCCCTCAATAAAATAATGATAGAAAACAATAGAGAAGGCAGGTCCATGTTTTGGCTTAACTGGAACACAGAGGATTTACTCCATGCGTCATAGATATAAGTTCAATGCCATTGGCTGGACTGTTTCAGCCATTGACATTATGGTTTCAGCCACCACATTGGTTTAACCCCTTAAGGACACATGACATGTGTGACATGTCAAGATTCCCTTCTATTCCTGAAGTTTGGTCCTTAAGGGGTTAAACACCACATGTTACAAAAATATGAAATCATGGTGTATTGTGATTCAACCAAACATTCCATTAATGCAATGGGACTGATCCCCAAATATCATATGAGTGCAAGGTACGTATGGCATTGCCTGGGTGGAGCCTCATATTGATTATGCCATGCTGCTGTGTATCCCATTACATCAAATGTGGGATAATGTTTAGGTAGGTAATAGGTGAACATAGGCAAGACCATAAATGTATTACTCTAATCACACTGCAGCTCGTACTGGTTGTGATAGGCTAAGGCATGACAGTTGTAGCCTTGACTACCAGGCCGTATCTACCATAAATCAAACCACATGGCACAGACATAGTGGGTAGAAAAGGCTACAGCCATTTTATTTATTTATTTTAATTAGTATGCAAGATTTGGTCATTGCCCCCATAACATTACATATACATTGAACCTTTAATAACCTAGGCAACCACCACAGGGTTAACATAACCATGAATAACTTGCATACCATAATTAACATAATTAACATAACAATTTAACCTTTTCCAGCACCCAGCTTGCTCCCAGGGATCCCCCATGTTGGAACCGCTCAAACTGCTGGGACAGAACCGCCTGCCCAGCCCCCAATTAGGCTGCGAGACCCTCTTCTGACTCACCACCTCTCACCAAGCCTCCATTAGGCTATCACCAAATCCTCATTGTGAGGCTATCTAGCAAGCTACCGCCAAGGCTGCGACAATTATTTCTTCTGGAACTGCCATCTTTGCGACCAGCTGCCTCTGGAGAACAAAGAAAAAACCGTCAGAACTTGGAAGTAGTATCCAAACACAATGAACAACAAACTAGGGAGGAAGGGCGGGCAAAAGAGATGGAATAACAGATTTAGCCATAAAATGGCTGCCGTGAAATGGTCCTCAGCCCCTATATACCCTTCATCCTCCTAATGCCCCACCCCCTCACCCTCTCTACCAATCCCTACTGCCTTGCTCAGTACAAGCTGTCAAGGCCCTCCTCCGCCTATGCGTCTACATGGGGCTACAATAATTGCTTTATAGAGGACTAACCTTTTAACCACTGCACATGGGTGAGGGGATAGAGCTCTAATGTAAAGTTCATTTCAGGTGAAGGTGGTCCCCTGTCCAGAAGTCTTAAAATGTCACTCTTATTTCACTCTCTATATTAATCCCATCACCCCTGCCACATGAATGAGGATTTTGGGGTGCCAGATCACTCATACAGTCAGGTCCATAAATATTGGGACATCGACACAATTCTAATCTTTTTGGCTCTATACACCAACACAATAGGTTTGAAATGAAACAAACAAGATGTGCTTTAACTGCAGACTTTCAGCTTTAATTTGAGGGTATTTATATCCAAATCAGGTAAACGGTGTAGGAATTACAACATTTTGTATATGTGCCTCCCACTTTTTAAGGGACCAAAAGTAATGGGACAGATTAACAGTCAGAAATCAAACTTTCACTTTTTAATACATGGTTGCAAATCCTTTGCAATCAATTACAGCCTGAAGTCTGGAACGCATAGACATCACCAGACGCTGGGTTTCATCCCTGGTGATGCTCTGCCAGGCCTCTACTGCAACTGTCTTCAGTTCCTGCTTGTTCTTGGGGAATTTTCCCTACAATTTTGTCTTCATTGAGTGAAATGCATGCTCAATCGGATTCAGGTCAGGTGATTGACTTGGCCATTGCATAACATTCCACTTCTTTCCCTTAAAAAAAACTCTTTGGTTGATTTTGCAGTATGCTTCGGGTCATTGTCCATCTGCACTCTGAAGTGCTGTCCAATGAATTCTGAAGCATTTGGCTGAATATGAGAAGGTAATATTGCCATCCTGCTGCTTTTGTCAGCAGTCACATAATCAATAAATACAAGAGAACCAGTTCCATTTGCAGCCATATATGCCCACACCATGACACTACCACCACCATGCTCACTGATGAGGTGGTATGATTTGGATCATGAGCAGTTCCTTTCCTTTTCCATACTCTTCTCTTCCCATCACTCTGGTACAAGTTGATCTTGGTCTCATCTGTCCATAGGATGTTGTTCCAGAACTGTGAAGGCTTTTTTAGATGTTGTTTGGCAAACTCTAATCTGGCCTTCCTGTTTTTGAGGTTCACCAATGGTTTACATCTTGTGGTGAACCCTCTGTATTCACTCTGGTGAAGTATTCTCTTGTTTGTTGACTTGTTGACTTGATTGTTGACTTTGACACACATACACCTACCTCCTGGAGAGTGTTCTTGATCTGGCCAACTGTTGTGAAGGGTGTTTTCTTCACCAGGGAAAGAATTCTTCGGTCATCCACCACAGTTGTTTTCTGTGGTCTTCCGGGTCTTTTGGTGTTGCTGAGCTCACCGGTGCGTTCTTTCTTTTGAAGGATGTTCCAAACAGTTGATTTGGTCACACCTAATGTTTTTGCTATCTCTCTGATGGGTTTGTTTTGTTCTTTCAGCCTAATGATGGCTTGCTTCACTGATAGTGACAGCTCTTTGGATCTCATATTGGGAGTTGACAGCAACAGATTCCATATGCAAATAGCACACTTGAAATGAACTCTGGACCTTTTATCTGCTCCTTGTAAATGGGATAATGAGGGAATAACACACACCGGGCCATGGAACAGCTGAGCAGCCAATTGTCCCATTACTTTTGGTCCCTTAAAAAGTGGGAGGCACATATACAAATTGTTGTAATTCCTACATCATTCACCTGATTTGGATGTAAATACCCTCAAATTAAAGCTGAAAGTCTGCAGTTAAAGCACATCTTGTTCATTTCATTTCAAATCCATTGTGGTGGTATATAGGGCCAAAAAGATTAGAATTGTGTCCATGTCCCAATATTTATGGACCTGACTGTATGTTATTAGATGTTCCATGGAATCGATTTTCTTATCCCTAGTGGGTTGACATATTTTAAAATCTGTTAATTCAATCCCAAGCAATTTCTTCGTTTTGTTTCAGTTGTTTTAAAAACGATTTGAGATCTGTATGGATGGGGTTCAATTTAGGTCTCATTAGGCTAAAATAAGTTTTACTCATTTCAGATAAAAAATTAACTTATAGTGAACCTGACGGGGGGCGTGGCTATGGACCGCATGGAAACGGACGCATAAGCTGTGAGCTCTGCCGAACCGTGGGTCCAAGAGCATGTTTTCACAGCGAACCGGCCACTAATGACGGCCTCCCACGACGCACATCACACCCAGAACGCAATGGCATCAAAATCAACCAAAAAAATGAAACAGATTCTCACCTGAACTCGCAGCAAGCTGAATGTTCTCACCTGAACTCGCGGCAAGCTACCCCCGAGCTAATCCAAGATGGCGCCGGAAGAACCGGATCGCCCACATGGGAATCTGATGCAGATAACAGCCAAAGCAGCTTCCCCAACATTGCCATTACTCCTGCTACATATGCCTCAATAAGCACCATGCTTGATAACCTTAAAGCAACCCTGCGCTCTGATTTTCAAAAAATGGCATCAGACATAAGAGCTGACATTCAGTCACTGGGGGACAGAACGGCGCACCTGGAGGAAAAAACGGAGGGATTACAAGAAGCTCACAATGACCTTGCGGAGGCACATGGGGCACTGGAAAATAAGGTCAGATACTTGGAGGGAAAAATTGCAGCTAATGAAGATCGGGATAGGAGGAACAATATTAGAATCCGCGGAATACCCGAAAATGTTAGACCACAGGACCTCGTGCAGTTTGTGCAGAAATTATTTAAATCCATGATTCCAACACTGACAGAGGCAGATCTCCACATAGACAGAACACACAGACTCCCCAAACCGAGATATTTACCTGCGACCACCCCATGGGATGTCATTACCAGGGTCCACTATTTCACGGTGAAGGACCAAATAATGCAGGTATCTAGACTCAATGCCAGGCGAATATGCGGACATTTAACTGTTGGTAGACCTATCAGCAGCCACCATGTTCAAGAGAAGGTCATTTGCACCCATAACAGTGGCCCTAAGAAATGCCAATATCCTGTATAAATGGGGATTCCCTACCAAGCTAGTTATCAAACGAAACGGAATTGACCGAGCCATCATCTCACCGGAAGAAGACCTAAAGATCCTAGAGGATTGGCATATCCCCGTCCCCACAATTGACTCTCGCAGGCAGGACCTACCACCACCACACAAAATTGCAAGAGACTGGCAACAGGTCCCATGGATCAGAACAACTCAGCAGGACCGCAGGAACCCTGATCCTTAAACCCTCACAAGCAAAACGCCAAGACACATAACATAACTGGCGAGGTTGATTTTATGTATCACAGGTTGAATATGTCTACAGTTGAATGATATATGTATAAATATTGTTTTAATGTGCATATAGAACGCAGCAGCAACCATAAGAAATAGGCCCACGACCGGCGCTAGGCCACCGCTAATTGTTGCGCTTTAACTCTTACTTATTATTTACCTCTAGCTATTTTTCCTTTTCTTGCAACCAACGTATAAGGTAACCATTGGTCACCATATCTTGCATTTCACTACCACCAACCCCCACGCAAGGCTTACAAAGTAGGCCACCATACATCCGTCTGCATATCCTTGCATAAGCCTAGTGGCTAATGGATTTTTGTATATAGTTTTCTTCCCCCCTCCCCACCCCACGACTGACCAGAATAGGTCAGCTCCCTGCAACCAAGGTAACAATTACAAACACTCGAGCTCATCCTACCACAACAAAAGACACAGCAGCTGATATAAACCCTATCAAAGACGTTAAAGCATCATGCCCCTAAAGTTCCTCTCACTAAATGCTAAAGGCCTAAATTCACCTAATAAATGCAGGTTGGCACTCCAGGAGGCCAAGAAACAAGGAGCGCACGTGGCTTTCTTCCAGGAAACCCACTTTAAATGTGGCGCAAAACCCAGGTTTAACTCTTTTTGGTTCCCGACAGACTATCATATGTGTTTTCACAAAAAGAAGAGAGGTGTATCGATACTAATCAATAGTGTTGTCTTTGAACTAATTCGTAAGATAAGTGATCAACCGTATACCCTAATGAATGTTTATGGCCCTAACGAGAACCAACCAGTATTCATAGCTAATGTATTTTCTCTTCTGTCAATGTATAGCTTTGGGGAGGTTGTTCTTGGAGGCGATACAAATTTTCTCCTTGATATCACTATGGACTCATCCGCCACAAGAACGGTAACCACAACGACTGCAAAACAGAGACACACACAAACATCCGCCATCTGTCGAACACTAACGACACATAACTATGTAGACCCCTGGAGGATATGTCACCCAGCTGAAATAGACTACACCTGTTACACTGCTGCACACAACAGCTATTCCCGAATTGATAGATTTCTAATTAAGATTACATCACTGGAGAAAGTGATTAATAAAGAAATCGGTGTCATATCATGGTCGGACCATGCCCTTATAACGTTGACTATATCTGAACAGTTCCCCCACGAGTGGTGGAACCACTTGATGATTAAACAAATCCCTACTCAATGACCCAGTCATATTGTGACACATTTCGACAGACCTCCAAAATTGCTTCACCGACAATGTACGCCCTGACACATCGCCGGACTATATCTGGCTAGCACACAAAGCAGTAATACGGGGTAGCTTTATAAAACACGCTAGTCAAGCCAAAAAAGCACGCCAAGCCAAATACTTAGAAATCATCACAGAAATAACTTCATTAACACACAGAAACAAACGCTCACCATTGCCCACGACACAGACCGCCCTATTACAAGCCCACACCAAACTACGAAACTTTGAACTGGCTAAAACCACATATCTACTACAAAAACACAAACACAAATCTTTCCCCTATGGAAACAGAGCGGGAGCTAAATTGTCTTCACAGCTCAAACAAAGATCAATCGCCTCCAGGATTGCCTTCCTAAACAAAAATAACGGTCAGAAAATCATTGACCCGAAACAAATAGTAAATGAATTCTCAGAATACTATCATAAACTGTATAATCTAAGGGAAGATGAGGGAGTGAGGATTCCCACGCTTACAGACATTGACAATTGTTTAGCTGACATACACTTACCAGCCCTATCACCTGATAAAATCTGCTTACTGAACCAGCCGATATCCTCAGAGGAAATATCCAAGGCCATAGCTTACTTACCCTCACACAAGTCCCCAGGACCAGATGGTCTCTCAAATAGATATTACAAAGAATTCTCCCGAATATTACTCCCTCACCTCTTAAACCTATACCAACATATACCATGGAACTTTTACTAGCTCACTTCTCCACGTTGCCCAAACCAGGCAAGCCCCCCACCACTTGCAAAAACTTTAGACCAATCTCCCTCCTAAATGGCGATGCCAAACTCTACGCGAAGGTACTAAGTAATAGACTCACATCCATAATCAGTACACTGATTCACAACGACCAAACAGGGTTCGTCAAGGGACATCAGGGTTCGGATAATACCTGAAAAGTCCTCAACATACTGGCCACAATGGAGGGGGGGTCGGTTGGAGGCCTCCTCCTAGCACTGGATGCGGAGAAGGCCTTCGACCGACTCAATTGGGCATTAATGCAAAGGGTGTTGCAGAAATTTGGCTTCCCTACCGAATTCATCAAAGGCATTATGGCACTATATATGACACCAGCATCTAAAGTGGCTTATGGTGGCTTCATCTCCAACTCCTTCCATATAACAAATGGAACGCGTGCCCCCTGTCACTCCTACTCTACATTATATCCATCGAACCCCTAGCGCAAAAAATACAAAATGATTCCAACATTCAAGGCACCATGATTTTAGGACGCGAATACAAATTAGCGTTATTCGCTGATGATATCTTGGTGACACTAGAAAACCCACAACTGTCAGTGCCACCCCTGGTGGAAGCCTTACAGAGGTTCGGAGACATAGAACACTACCATAGACAAAAGATATTGGATGAATAATCCAATATATATTCAGGAGTAGTGTATACCTTTAAATTTTAAACTGGTATGTAAAAATGCTAAAATGACATAATATGACTTAGAATAGCATATAAATGAAGAGCATATATAAGACAAATGATATAAATATGCTATTGTTGCAATAAATCCAATAGTAGACAGAATGATACAATTGTATCACTTAGAATAAAAGTTCATAACAGTCCGTGAATGATGTTAGCTGTTTCAGCTTTTACCAGTTATGAACAAACTGGAATAGTGGATGCTGAATTAGCTGAATTAATATAGTACAAATATATTTGATTGTAAATGTAGCAATAGCGATTAGCAAATATACTTATGTACTTGTGAAAAAAGAAATAGTAATAACTAGCAGGTCATAATCAGTGACTTGCAGTATAATAGGAAGAAAATCCCTCCGGTCTTGCAGAGACTAATGCAAAGATGCTTTCTGTGTTAAAAAATGAATAGTTTTATTGTCCACAGAATAAAATTAAGATTGCACTTACAATTGAGCAAAGAGCTAAATGTGCTGAGCTGGAATCGGGAAAGTCTGGTGTTAGCAGCTGTCAGGTGCTGGTCCTGCCGGCAGATGATGCTAGGAGCCGCGTGCGTGTCACCGATCTTCCTGCGTTCCAGATACAGCCTGTTCGTCTTTACGGTAAGTGCCAGAAAGTGAAATAATGTCCTTACGCGTTTCGTGAGTCTGCTGCTCACTTCATCAGAGGAACGCATCCTCTGATGAAGTGAGCAGCAGACTCACGAAACGCGTAAGGACATTATTTCACTTTCTGGCACTTACCGTAAAGACGAACAGGCTTCATCATCTGCCGGCAGGACCAGCACCTGACAGCTGCTAACACCAGACTTTCCCGATTCCAGCTCAGCACATTTAGCTCTTTGCTCAATTGTAAGTGCAATCTTAATTTTATTCTGTGGACAATAAAACTATTCATTTTTTAACACAGAAAGCATCTTTGCATTAGTCTCTGCAAGACCGGAGGGATTTTCTTCCTATTATACTGCAAGTCACTGATTATGACCTGCTAGTTATTACTATTTCTTTTTTCACAAGTACATAAGTATATTTGCTAATCGCTATTGCTACATTTACAATCAAATATATTTGTACTATATTAATTCAGCTAATTCAGCATCCACTATTCCAGTTTGTTCATAACTGGTAAAAGCTGAAACAGCTAACATCATTCACGGACTGTTATGAACTTTTATTCTAAGTGATACAATTGTATCATTCTGTCTACTATTGGATTTATTGCAACAATAGCATATTTATATCATTTGTCTTATATATGCTCTTCATTTATATGCTATTCTAAGTCATATTATGTCATTTTAGCATTTTTACATACCAGTTTAAAATTTAAAGGTATACACTCCTCCTGAATATATATTGGATTATTCATCCAATATCTTTTGTCTATTGCACTTGTAGGGATTTTTTAGTGGAGTCCCTTTTTTCAGTTGAGAGTTAACCTTTAGCTGTGTTTTAAACTCTCTCCTAAGGTACACCATTGGGACCTTTATATTTTTTCTGTTATAGCACACTACCGCCTAAACCAGGAAAAAACCCAAGCACTACCCATCACACTTCCCCTACCCACCACATCCTCCCTGAAGGAGAACTATACGTTTGACTGGAGGACACCCTCACTTACTTACCTTGGTGTAAAAATTGCATCTTCTATAGCCGAAGTACAGAAATTAAATTACCTTACCCTTCCACAACAATGTTAGAAAGAAACACACAAATGGTCACAAACGCACGTTTCTTGGTTGGGCAGAGTAAATGCATACAAAATGATGATTTTGCCGAAGCTGCTTTACATATTCAGAATGCTCCCCATCCAAATCCCACAAACACTTATAAAAACGCTACAAACTATATGCAACGCATTCATTTGGGGAACCAAAAAACCACACATAGCCAGTACGATACTATATAAACATACAAAACAGGGTGGAGTGCGATTACCCAACATAGGCTTGTATTATAAAGCCTCAGCCTTGGCAACAGGTGTACTGCTGCATACCAATGCGGAACCATACATTGGGTAGACATGGAGAAAACCCAATTCAGCGATACCTGGGCACTAGCATACCTGTGGACACCAAGAAAACTAAGACCATTGCAGCCAGACCTCCTACCCACTACAAAACTCACTGTCCAGTTTTGGATGGCATATTTAGAGGCCATAGGGGGAAAGCATACATTCCACGATAGGGCCCCACTGACAGCCTTAAAAGCTATCTCACAAGACATACGCCTTCAGACATGGGAGCGGGCGGGAATAACACACATACACCAACTACTCCAACCCCAAGGAATGATGCCATTCCCCGAAGTACAACAAAGATGGGACCTACCCAACAATACTATCTTCACATACTTACAAGTTAAGTGGATCATCGCTACACATGTACACGACCAACACGCGAACCCTACCCACCAACAAAGGCAATAATGGAAAGGTGTTGGAAACACCCCATGAAACCAAAAACCATCTCCATATGCTACAAAGCATGGGAGAACACCACACCCAACACGACACCGCACTGCAAAACGCTGTGGGAAACAGATTGTGCTATCACACTCACAGGTGATGAATGGATACAGACACTAAATAACTTATCTAAATGGACAAAATGCTACTCGCACATAGAAGCACACAGAAAACTACTATACAGATGGTACTTAACTCCCCACAAACTTCACAAAATCTACCCGAACACATCTCCGCTTTGCTGGAGATGCTCTGCAGAAGAAGGTACACTCATAAATATCTGGTGGACATACCCCAACATCAAACCCTTATGGAAATAAGTGCGCAATACGCTGCACGCCCTCAAACTCCCAGATACCCAAAACACTCCTGAAACATACTTACTGATGAGATTCCCTCCATCATATGAACACTCACACAACCAACTAAGTGCCCTCACCATCCTGGCAGCTCGCAACCTATTAGCTTTACACTGGAAGTCCACAACATGCCCAAACAAAGCCAAGTTATGGGACAAGATACAACAATTCTACATATATGGGCGAATGGCCACACCTAACATCAAGTCAGCACAGGTGTTTCATGCAACATGGTCACCTTGGGTGGAACTATACAACAAGCAGTTAGTTGGGTAGAGTCATGATTGTTACTCTATACACCGATCCCACACGACAACATATAGGAACGGGATAAATGTCAGGATGGCTATATGAGCAATAACCATACAAGCAATGATACATAAAGATTCATGTTACCTTATTGTACCAACTCCCGCCCTCACCTTACCTCTACTGTTTTACCTGAATTACATATTTACGCAATGTTCAAAACTGCATTTTGTCTCAGATTGTACCAGAAACTGTACCTAAATGTTGAAAACTCAATAAAACATATATTGGAATAAAGTGAACCTGATATGACAGATATAACTTTGCAATTGTCTAACCATCTGGCTTGACTCAATCAAATGTTTCTTCGCGTAATTCTACTAAAAGCTCATATTTAATTTATTTCTATTACTCCTGTCTCCTGCCAAGACCATCAGTCATGTTTCAGTAGGTATTGCACATGCTGTAACACATACCGCACCTGTATACCCCTGTTTGGAAAAGTCCACAACATTTTATGTTGGCTTTGTATAAATAAAACATATCTGTTCTCTCTCTCCTTTCTCAGACTGCGTGTCCAAAGCCATAAATCATTCTGGCTCTTTCTCTCCTGTCTCCGTGCTGCTACTCTCATATAGAGCGTTCCCTCCGTCCCACTTCCCCATGCAGGCATTGCTTTGTTTTAGACTAAACTTAAGCAGGTGAGAAGCCCGGAGAAGGGATCCCCGATAACAGACATGCAGAGCACAACCTCCTTATTTCTGTGCCGATTGGCACAGAAATAAACTAATTGACAGGAGAGGAATAGGGCTGTTTTTAGGGGCATCTCCTTCATGCTGTCCTCCCCTCAGCACTGCCACCCACTCTATTTAAATCTTTCTTTTTTTGTGTGCTTGTGGGAGGCAGACCACCACAGAAAGGGTTACTCTAACCCAAACCAGTGTTTTATGAAAAGATTAGTTTTTGTTTGGACTATCCATTTAATACCCTTTTTTATTTTTAGTGAATAATCACAAGAGAATTCAGGCAGCAGATACAAAAAGCAAAAGTATCTTATTCTGACCAAGTTTAATAATTCGGAATTAGAATTTTTATTACTTTTACCAAACCTTCCACATTAACTATATGAATTCTATTCCTTCAGAAGTGGCCAATGAGAGCTCGTCTGTATGGTGGTGCTTTGGAAGCCGAGGTGTCTGCCAGATGTGCCTCAGACAAGGACTAAGGTGGATAGAAATGTTAATATTGGAATTAGAGGGATGTTAGAGGCTCCAGCATCTTCTACTATCTTCTCCAGTCCGCCGGATGTATTGTTGAAGCTCTGTATGATTCTCCCACACCTAAGATGCCGTTTCATTCTTTCTACAATGGAAAAGACTCAGTCCCAAGCCTGTCCACCGATACCCCTACAGATTTAGTAGAAGAACAGTTCCTCTAAGTCTCTACCATGAGTATAGATGACTCAAGTACCATCAAAACATGCTGATGTTTTAGATAATGTCATTAACACGATAGAAGCTTTCCTTTTCATGATATCATGATGGTTTTGAGCTGAACGTGTTAATTTAGCTGGGTCAAGGCCAGTCTGTGATTTCTAGTCCATCGATAGCTGGCAGAGAATTATGGGAAATGTAACTGTAACTAATTTGCAAGAGGAAACACGTTGGGCAAGTCTTGTTAGTCCCCTACAGCTGATTGACTCCAAGGGGCTGTGAGAATTACAGAAGAATCTATGGGAAATACAGCCAGTGTGAGATAAATATAAACTATATTAATACAAGTGCTGTATATTTTGTTCCTTAATATAAAATGTGTTGGAGGATTTAAATCCCCTCCCCAGTTCACGTGGACTTTATACTTTATTACATGCTAAATTGTGGAATAGAAAAAGATCTGTGTCTATGGTGCCTTTTCCTTATAATTTCCATTCTGGTTTTATTTTTTGTTAAGTTCATTCAATCAAGTTAAAATGGAAGAGAAAGGGGGCCCGTATGAGAGTGCATCATGGGAAGGCTTGGATAATACTGGGAGGAGACATTTATCAAAGTGTTCTGAAAAGTGCCAGTTAAATTACATTATTATTTTGTATTTATTAAAGTGAAAGATTTCTGGTAGTTGTTGTTCAGTTCACAGCTTTTTTTAAGTATAAAGCTGGTAACTAAACATTCCCAGAAACACCTTTTTCTGAACAGAACTGAAGCTGTGCAAGAAGAACTTCTGTTATTCAGCTCTCCCCACACAATGTGTAGATCAGTAAGCAGTTTGACAGATTTATAGGTGTATGGGCAGAGGTCTAGCTAGAAACCACCAGGGCCTGGTGCAAAAATTGCCATGCCCCGCAAGTGTCTCATTCACCCCCCCTCCAAGCTCCTCCAAGTGTCTCATCCTTATCCCTTAGCCCCCCCCACCCATGTGTCTCATCCTCCCCAACAGATTTATAGGTGTGTAGGCAGAGGTGTAGCTAGAAATCACCGGGGCCTGGTGCGAAAATAACCCTGCCCCCCCCCCAAGTGTCTCATTACCCCCAGCCCTCACATCCGTCTCATTCTCTCTCCAGCCCTTCATGTGTGTCATACTCTCCCCAGCCCCCCATGTGTCTCATCCTCTCCCCCAGCCCTCACTTGTGTCTGATTTTCTCCCCAGCCCCTTCATGTGTGTCATTCTCCCCCCTGCCCCTCCATGTGTCTCATTCTCCATGCCCAGCCTCCCTATGTGTCTCATTATGCTCCCCCAGCTGCCCCATGTGTCTCACCCTGCACCCCCAGTCCTCCTCAGCCCCCCGTGTGTCTCATTATGCACCCCAGCTGGCCCATGTGTCTCATTCTGCACCCCCAGCCATTCCATGTGTCTCATCCTCCCCCAGTCCTCACGTGTCTCATTCTCTCCCCAGCCCCTTCATGTGTTTCATTGCCCCCCCCTAGCCCCTCCATGTGTCTCGTTCTCTCCTCCCATGTGTCTTATTCTCCCAGCCCTTACACGTGTCTCACATGCACCGGCCCTGAAGTTATGCTGGCACATTGGTTGCAGGGGTTGACAGGGCGGCTTGGCTCCCTGGAGTTATGGGCCCGGTGGTATCGGATGGTGATTGTCACATTTTAAATCTCTGCAAGTAGAGTTAATAAATAAACGTTCATACATTTCACTAGCCATTTTTTCTGTGGTGTTTTACTGATGTGAGAAAGCTCCATATTTAAAGCAAGAACTCTATTAAGGGCTTGATTTTCTAAGCAGATAACCATCCTTTATCTCAAAGTACACAGTGTTTTAAGGATCACATGCTTTTACCGACATGTGATTCATTAAACATAAATTAAGAGCTGGGAAAGTAGAGCTAGAATTACCGTAACAAGATATTGAAGCCAAATGTCTCAGATCAGAACGAGACGAACTAAATAAAGGGATTTATTTCATCCAAAGGGACATAAACCTTTTCATGTAGGATTAACCTGTGCATTGATCGTGGTCAGAGCAGAGACAGCTGAAGACGGGACTTTTCATTCCTAATATTCTGCTATTAACGTGACGAGAAGGAGAATCATTAAAGTAGAGCTAGGTTCAAGCAATTGCCGTCTGATTTTACTTACGAACGAGGACAAAAAAAACCCAAGAGACTATTTATCCATCAAAGCATATATTAGTCATTTCCAACTGAGCACAAAATATTATATTAATAAATCCAAGCAAACTGTGAACACAGTGGATTTATATGTGGTTTAAAATGTGTGAGCTTTCCTGTCTGGACAGTGGCATTCATTGAAATGTGACAACTACAACAACACATTTTAAAGCTTACAGCCTCATTAACACCAGCGGAGTCTAGGGCTAAGCACAGGGCCGGAACTACATTTTTTTGGGCCCCCTCTAGTGTCAGGATGGCTAAATGGTAGACCCCCATCTGCTGAACTCCCATGATGCTTTGCAAACTGGTGATTTACCATTTGCCATTGGAATGCAGTAATGTGCCCGTGTGTACTGTTTGTGTTTGAGTGCTGGGGTGTGTTTGTATGCATTGTTGGCTTTTACATGCAGGTGTGCTTTTGTGTCTAGTGTTAGTGTTCGAATGAATGAGTGTTTGTATATAATTTTAGTGTTTGAATGCTGGGGTGTGTTTGCATTTGATTGCAGGTGTGTTTTTGCAGGGCCAGCCTTAGGGGTGTGCAAGCTGTGCGACCGCACAGGGCGCCATGGATCATGGGGCGCCATGTGGCCGACACAGCTCGCACATGGCCGGGTGTCTGGGTAATTAAAACAGGTACCCGGGTGGAGGATTAATTAATCTACACCCGTGTCTATAAAAAATAATAAATCTCGGCCGCGGGGGCGGCGCTTAATGAGCAGCGAGGGTGGGGCTTATGGCGATGCAGCGGCGGAGCATGTAACTGCTGCAAAGGAACTGCATCTACTCCCCCTTCAAGCCATAATGGAAAGAGGTAAGTCTGTGTGTGTGAGACTGCCTGGCTATTTGTGACTGTTTGCCTGTGTGTGTGTGACTGCCTGCCTGCATGTGTGTGTGTGTCTATGTGACGGCCTGCGTGTGTCTGTCTCTGCGTGACTCCCTCCGTGTGTGTGTGTGTGACAGTCTGCCTGTGTGTGTGCCTATCTGCCTTTAACTGAGTGTGTGTGTGACTGTCTGCTTGTGACTGTGTGCCTGTACCTGTGTGTGTGTCTGTAACTGTTTGTGATTGTGTGCCTGTAACTGTGTGTTTGGCTCTGTGACTGTCTGCCTGTAACTGAGCATGTGTGACTGTCTGCCTGTAACTGTGTGTTTGACTTTCTGCCTGTAACTGAGCATGTCTGACTGTCTGCCTGTGCCTGTGACTGTATATAGGTAACTGGGTCGGGGGGGGGGCGCCGTGAAGACCTTTCGCACAGAGTGCCTAATGGCCTAAGGCTGGCCCTGTGTGTTTGTATGAAGTGAAGTCTTTTAAATGCGGGTGAACAATTGTGTGTAGTATTTGTGTTTGGATGAAGGTATGTGTTTGTATATAATTTGGAGTTTGCATGCAGGGTAAGGGTTGTGTCTGTATGTAACGTTTGTGTTTGATTACAGGGGTGTGTTTGTATGTAATACTTTTGTGTGCAGGAGGGTGGCTTCCTTGGGGTCCTACAGACGCTGGCTGAGGCTGATGAGAGTGAGTATAACCCTTCTCCAAAAAGCTATTGACCAGCTCGAATGATTCAAGGTCAACATTGAATTGGAGGAGGGGGGTGAGGGGGAAGAAACAGAGACAGGGTCTGGTATTTGTAACTAGGTTTAATACAATTTATGAGATCATCAATAGATATTGGCCTATACTTATTCCAGATCCTTGGTTAGTATGTTCAATAGAAAAAATCCAAGGGCCGCTTTCACCAAGGCCCTCAGTTTGAAAAATAGTTCAGCCCCCAAAATGTAAAATATAATAAATACATACATGTAGCCATCGAAGTGGATAATAGGTGTAACTCCACTTGATGCCTTACCTGTGCACATGGGTAATGGGGAAAAAATAAACTTACCTCATTACGTCTCACATCACTTGTAATACCTTGTCTGTAATTTATTTATTACATTGTACATATGGCCTACACAGGCTTAACAAACTCAGGGAAAGATCGTCCCATTTCCCTGCTCCCTTTTTCCTCAAAGCTTCTGGAAAGACTTGTCTTTACCCGTATGTCTCACTTCCTCAATGCCAACGCTCTCCTTGATCCTCTTCAATCTGACTTCCATCCCCTCCACTCTACAGAGACGGCTCTTATCAAAGTTACTAAGAACCTAATCGCAGCTAAATCCAAAGGACACTACTCTATACTAATTCTTCTTGACCTCTCTGCTGCCTTTGACATCATTGATCATGCTCTCCTTCTCCAAACTCTTCAAACATAGAATGTGATGGCAGATAAGAACCATTCGGCCCATCTAGTCTGCCCAATTTTCTAAATACTTTCATTAGTCCCTGGCCTTATCTTATAGTTAGGGTAGCCTTATGCCTATCCCACGCATGCTTAAACTCCTTTACTGTGTTAACCTCTACCACTTCAGCTGGAAGGCTATTCCATGCATCCACTACCCTCTCAGTAAAGTAATACTTCCTGATATTTTTAAACCTTTGCCCCTCTAATTTAAGACTATGTCCTCTTGTTGTGGTAGCTTTTCTTCTTTTAAATCTAGTCTCCTCCTTTACTGTGTTGATTCCCTGTATGTATTTAAATGTTTCTATCATATCCCCCCTGTCTCGTCTTTCCTCCAAGCTATACATGTTAAGATCCTTTAACCTTTCCTGGTAAGTTTTATCCTGTTTGCATCCTATTTTCTATTTTACCTAAATCATTTGGCTTATTCCTCCTTGAACATCAACCCTGTTGCATATATTAGTTTCATCAGCTTTTTTTAGAGAAGACTCATCACTCGGTCTCTGTGACTCTGTCCTCTCGTAGTTTTCCTCTTATCTCTCCCAACACTCATTCAGTTTCTCCTTTTCGAATGATACCGCCTCCCTTCGTCCTGTCTTGGTTGGAGGTTCTGTCCTTGGTCCCCCTTCTATTTTCTCTTTATACTGCCTCCCTTGGCAAACTTATTTAATTTGTATTCCACTACCACCTGTAGGCTGATGACACCCAGATATATCGTTCCTCCCCGGACCTCTCCCCTGCCGTCCTGCAACGTGTCACTACTTGCCTTTCTTCTGCTTTTTGAAACTCAATTTCTCTAAAACTGGCCTTGTCTTTCCTCCTCCCAATACTGATCCTCCTCTTTTGCTCTTGCTTCAAGTTAGTGGTATCCACATCAGTCCATCCTTGCAAGCGCATGGTCTTGACGTTATACCAGTTTCTGGCCTCACCTTTGAGTTGCACATCCAGTATGTTGCCAAATCCTGTAGATTCCAACTTAAAAATATAGCCCACGTCTGCCCATTTCTTACGCAAGATGCTATTAAGGAGCTTGTCCATGCTCTAGAAATTTTTACCAGGTACTTGGGTCTCTTTCCTTCTGGGAGGGCTTCACTTAAGAGTATATATAAATTTAACACACTAAAAATAAAGATACCACACTCACAAATTACTGATGCTTAGGAAACATGTGGTTTAATTTCTTAGCAGAAAAAAATTAGATAAAAAATAAAAGCTGAAAAAAATCATCCTTGCCAACAAACTATAGCAAATAAATTTCAATCATGTACAATACGCCAGTTTAGAAAGGATTGGCTTAATCTCATGAAATAGCTTACAAAAAGGTATGCAGCATAAGAACATGTAACACATGCAAGATCAAATACTGTATCCGCTGCAACAGGTGGAAAAGCTTATATTACTGGTTGTCCACTCCCAGAAGGCCTCTTGTAATATTGATTAATATACTTATTCAATAAGTGGCAACAGGTATTACCAAATTGGTATATACAAAAAGACTTAAAAGGCCAAAAAACAAATAAAAAAAAATAAAAATAAAAAAAGATAAACCAAAAAATAAGTCCTTAACTATATACATAGTGTTATTGGGTGGATCTACCCACTGTACAGCGCTACGGAATCTGATGGCGCTATACAAAAACTCACCAGTGGCAGACGTACAAGTATACCGGAATCCAGTGCCTGTGAGTTCAAGGTGGTTGATACTTTCACCGATTTTACTGCTCTTTTGTGGTTGTGTGGATGAATATATTCAATATTGATCTGGGACAGCCCAAAGACATAAGTCAGACAGGGCCGCATACTCGGGAACCCATCTTACCTTCGATGCCCCTTTTTTTGGGATATACATAAATGGTAATGAAATGCCCAGTACTACTTTTAGATTAATCAATATTACAAGTGGACTTACGGGAGTGGACTTCCATCCAGTAATATAGGCTTTTCCACCTGCTGCTACATGTTCTTATATTGCATACTTTTTGCAAGCTATGGGGATGACGCAATCCTTTCTAAATTGGTGTATATTACATGATTGAAATTTATTGACGCTAGTTCGTCTGCAAGGGTGATTTTATTGCTTTACACTTTATATAAAATTTATTTTTTCTACTGAGAAATTAAACCACATTTTGTCTAAGCATCTGTAATGAGGCAAGTGAGGTATTCTTGTTTTATTATTGATGTCTATCATTTGGGGATTTGCGCAGTGTGAGCCCCCCCAATACCAGCACCACATTGTTTTATTTAGTTCATATAGAATTTAATAACCATTGCTGTTACCTTGCTCAGCCACTGGATTTGGACTTTATTATAAAAAGCATACACCATTTTACACCCTATTCAAATTAATTCTAATGGTCTTAGATTACAGGTCCTTTGAAAACAAGTTTTAGAAATTTGTGTATTTATAAATGCACAACACAGTATTGCAGGGGCACTCATGAAGATCAGGCCCATCTATAGCTCCACTGGGACCAGTTACTAGAGTGTGATAACTTCCTTTGAAGACTTCCCAACAGTCTCATGCCATCGAATATAGGAGTCACTTCTTCCCCAGTCATTTTTTGTTTTACATAGACCAATATTCTGTATATATGTGACTATTCCTATAATAAGTATAAGACTATATAGATCACCCTCTTTCCACGCCATCTCACTTTTTACTCCTATCCCCTCTCACCCTTATTAGTCAGGTCTGCGGATATTGACAAGGAGTCTTTTAGAACAGTTAATTATTGTTGTACTCCTATCTCTTCACTATAAAATGTTGGCTCTTACATATTCAACTGCCTTTTAATAGCCTAAGTGTTCAATACCTAGTAATATTTGTGAGCAAAGTCTTTTGTAATGTACAGAGACATATTCCTTAAAAACCATAAAAAAAACAAAAAAAAAACTAACAAAAGGGGAGGGGTGGGGAAGGAGGATTTATATAAAAAAAACCAAAAAACACAAAAAAGTTCAATACTGAACTTGGATATATCCACAGAAAATTCAGTCGAGCCAAAATTTGCATAATTTTCCATTTATTGCATTTGTTTTACATTTACAAAATGAAGGAATGGCAAAATATAAAAGGAGAATTTCACACCATTACACAAAAATGTAAATTTTTATTTCCCCCAACCTCCCCAAAAAAATACATTTGGCAAAAACATTCAGTGCAATTAATCCCAGAAAGGACTCGTATTATTTCACTTTGGCTTGATTGGTACCTATCCCACAGCTACAAAGTATGGAGAGAATGAGATACATTGAGAGAAAAGGACAAGCCTTACACAAGAACAGAAAGCAAATAGTTTATACCAGGGGTCCTTCTGGGGAGGTTTCAACATGGACCAACTTCTTATAATACGAAGGACACATCCTTAGAATTATGGGCTTTCAATTAATATTTTTGGTTAAACTTTTCAAATTATCACAAACTGTTAGAATTTTTTTTTATTTTTTTATGATTTATCTACAAAAACTTTCCACAGGCGTTAATGCGGACATCTGTAGAAAAATCATTTGAAAGTTCTTCTGACAGATTGAAGATTGAATCGTGATCTGAAAAGGATTATCCAAAGAATTAAATCAAGGCTGTAGTAGATACGAAAATAGCTCCACTCAGTGGCATTTAAACACACATACACAAAGTTTTATGGACAACTCAAGCCGAAGTATTAAAATGTTCTTTGGATGTTGAGTTTTTAAGTTTACAAGTAACCAGTATATGAAAATCTAGCATGGCTCAATTCAGAAATTACAAAACAAAGAATGACTTTGCACAACTGTAGCAGTCCTGCCAGGGATTCATGTAAACAGAACAGATAGAAAATGCTGTAATTTGTTAAAAAACAATTGCTTTCTTCACTGGCATGGTTAGGACTATGAATATTATTTCAGAAGAATAAAAGGTTTATAGAGATAGGCCTCCCAAAGTAGTCTCAACATCAGTGATAACGACAACATCTACAGATGTCCTAGCTGACCCAGATCTTCGATCAGATTGACAAACCCAGATACATTCTTCACCCCAATGTCTGTTATATGTTTTATGGATAATCGATCTGTAATCTGAAAGACACCAACCACCCAGATACAACAAAAACAAAAAACAAAAATAACCAACCAACCAAACACTGTTTAGCAGTATCAGTAATGGGCATCTTGGCTGAACTGGGACTCATGAAAAGGCATAACCAGGTAAATTGACCGCAAGCCAAGTTGTTTTCCCAGATTGTTTGGGGTTTTCTAGAGGAGACAAGTCCTACTTTAATACGAAAATGGAGAACAAAAGCACACAATTTCATACACTATTCATAAATTAGTTATTTTTATTTATTTCATTTTGCATAAGGGATGGATTGCTAGCTCCCGGGATTCATGTGGCCAAGTATTAGTCTACAGAATGTAGAACAGGATTTGACAAACTCCTAACTGTCTTGCACAAGTCTTCTAGTACTACCATTATTTTGCTCAAAACCCCCCCAAACAAACCAAAAAAAACCCAAAACCACACGACTTCAAAATCAGGTCAACGTTTATCTTTGAACGGGACGCCATTCAGACAATATTCAACATAGACATTCAAATGGAAATGACAGTTAAACCAGTCATGGTCACTTTATTTTAAACACGAGCTGAACGCATGGTTATAAAGTCTGATTGCAAAAACGTTGGTCTGAATAGGAACAAGTTCCATCCTCGCATGAAACAAAAATACATACTTGGACCAGGTTTCTGAAAGGAATCCAAAGTTATAAATAACTGCCCGGTTCAGACTTTTACTGCAATAAAGAACTAGTCCTGAGCAAAGGCACATATATGGAACATGATTCAAGTCTGTATAGAACATCACGGTTTGGAGCCATTCCAATTAAAGATACTACATCCCATGGATTTAAATGGAAAAAAGGACATAAGGTCTACTTTGGAGGTTTATATACAAATATTAAATGATGTAGTCTATTCATTTGCTGCATGCTAATAATTTATTCAGATCGAGACAACATTTTACAATAGAAATCAGTCACAAAAATCACATAGAAAAGGGAGGTCCGGCCATAAAAAGATATTCAATAAATATTTAAATAACTCCTTAAATCAGTCAAAAAAAACTTTCCCGTATCTGCCCACAATGCTGGAAATCCATTGTATCCAGCTAGGTGTGTGGGTTTAAAGACGGATGTGTTAAAGTATCTTTTAACGTAGTTAGTAAAAATGTACTATGAGGAGACAGGGAAGAGATCTGAAGAAAAAGCAGGCGACGATTTGTTGTGTTAACGAGAATTACAATGGGACAGTTGGAATGGGGCATTCTACGAGGAGCTTGTTAAGGAAAGCTGGAGGCAGAGGGTTAACACTATATTTACAGAGTAAAAATAAAAAAAGCTGATATTTACTTTTCTGAACTGGTTGCATAGTTTTAAACCAGTTTTCCCATGATAAATGGCTCGAATAATGTTAGCTAGAGACTTCTGTATTTTCAGAAAAATTCTATGGATAAAGTAAAAAAAACAAAACAAAAAAAAAAAACAAATACAAACTCTGCAAAACTAGCAGAAAGTTATTGTGTAGCAGCTTGCAAGCATTATACCCGTAGGCGATTACGTGAATTCTCTGCTCGGTAATAAATAAAATATTTTATTTGGTCTCCTTTGTAGTGCTTACACTTTACCCAGGCAGTAATTCCTGCTCTGGTTAGAATATTACTGGTACATAAATATTTATCTATGCTATACAGTGGGGCAATCTACTGTGAGAGGACCTTGAGAAGGTGGACTGGCAGGACGTGATCCCTTCAACAGGCACGCTTTTCTTACAAAGCACAGTGACGGTCACAGCTGCTCCATTTAAAAACATATCCACAACTGAGAAACGATCTGCAGCATGTTCTACTCATTTCCAATTATTACAGTGTTAAACAAAAAAAACAAAAACAAAAAAAAACATTTTGTCTACAAGAATGATTTTTCGATGACCGCTCTGGTTTCAGCGTCCATTGACATGGTGACCACATAGGCTGCTGATGGCACAGGCTGGGATAATCACACATATCTAGGTTAGAACAGAATTACACAACCATTAGAACAAACACTGCGATGCTCCACTTAGACAATGTAAATGTCTGTGGGCTTAATGTCCTGCATCAGGACTGTGCATCATGGGAAATGTGGCTGAAATGTCTAAAAACCTATAAATTGTATGGCAGAAAAGAACAATCCAGAACTATACTTCGGATGACAGCATTAACTAGATATTAATTTTTCCAACTGGAGGAAGCCAGGACTGAAAAAAATATATAGATTTAACTGTATGAAACAATTCTAGTATAAGCAAACAGAAAAAAAAAAAAAAAACTGTTTCAAGGCTTTGATTGTTTTAAGTACACAGTACGTAAACCGAAAACAGCACGGTTGTTAACGGGGGGCATGGTGTACAATTACCAACTTTCCCCCACATTGTACCTGAATGATGAGAAGAACAGTGTTTGGTAACCCTTTAAAGAGTTTTTTAAAAAAATGAATTCGAAAGAACCAGATGCACCTGCATGGCAAATTAATGGAGAGAATCTATTTAAGCAAGAAAGAAAAATCAGAGTTTTTATATAGGCATCTTTATGAGGCAGAGGTCAGGAACAGAATGGGGTATGATTTTTCTATATGGTCTCTGCAGAGTTCTGCACAAAAGATTCTTCTTCATTCAGAAGATCTTGAGCCCAGCTCAAGTCTAAACCTAATGTAGGTAATTTTACCGTTCTGGTGAAATATTAAAAAAAAACAAAAACAAAAAAAAAAACTGGCTAGTCCAATTACGCGGAAGTTTCCCAACTTCTGTCAAGAGGTAGAAAGATATCAAAGAGGCTGTTTGGCTGCTGAATGACAACATCCCCCGAGTAAGTGACACCAGAATCATTAGAGCACAAGACGAAATCTGTAAATGGATATTAACATAATAGGCCACATTTTATCTTCTCACCGCAACATTAACATTTTCCACCAAACACGTTCAGAAAACACTGCACAATTGGACATTCTGAAAGGTTATATGCTTGGTATCTGACTGTACTTGAATCTTAGGATTCACTTCATGCTTGTGGTTCTTCTGTGAGCAGTTACTCACTCTTACTAGGTGGTTGACTAAGTACATCTTTGAATCTTGTGCGTTAGACAAACATACCACTGAAAAAAAACACACAACAAAAATACCACTTTTAGGCCGCTGGAGGGCAGAGAGATTACTTTTACAGAACGTCAAGAGTTAGATGAACAAGTGTTGGAATTGTCAGCCAAACAACTTAAAGACCTAGCAGCGATATCTCAGTCCCTCATCGTCTCAGAATCAGTAGAAGGTTCATAAATTACGTTTCATGGTGTTCGGGTGATATTGGCCATTACTTTTCTGAAAGTCTGATGTGTGAATTTTCTCTGTTCTCAAAATATCTAAAGGGAGGTCTCTTGAACAACGTAAGAGTGTCCACCCTCTGAACGAAAAAAGCCACCGCAGCTTTCTTCCATCTCCTCTTTTCCCATGATTTGGGTGTCTCCATTTAAAAAACCATTGCAAGTTTTTTCTGCAATTGCCGCTTTTGGACAGTCCTGTAAAAAAAAAAAATAAAAAATAAAAATTAAAAAAATACAAGCTCAACGAAGGAGAGTTTTTCTTAAAATGATCTGATCAAAATTTGTCTAAGTGGTCAATTGGGACCTCTACATCAATAAAGCTGGTGGACAAGTGAACCCTATTTTGGCTTTAATACTGCTAAACAGATTGAAACCAAACACCACCAGTACATCGATCATATTAAATATGTACATTAACACAAGTGAAAGCAGTGGAATGAGTCAGGTGAGTTCAGCATCTTGCTATGTACTACACTGCATTTAAATCCAAATGTATATTGTGTCTTTCACGTTGCAAACATTCTAGCAGTTATTTAATAGATTAAATGACCAGCCTGGCATAATACAGTCTGCAACAGATGGGAGTTAAAGTACACCTAGTCCTTAACATTTTATAAACCAAGATTGATTAGGGAGAATGGGAAGTTTTGTAACAGAGCATTATTTAATGACTGATGGATAATGTTTAGTAGCAAGATTTGGGATTTGAATTTTATTTTTTAGTATTAATAGGGTTAGGGACTATAGGAAGGTTTTAGATCAGGGTTAGGGATTCAGTAGCTAGGTTAGGAATAAAGATTAGTGCTATACGTTGAGGGCAAGGATAATGTTTTGAGTTAAGTATTGAAGGCAAAGAATTATGGTTTTGAATTATAGCCCACGGCTAAGACTGCATTAGGCCAGGGCATGACAAACAAAGGAGCTGAAGAGATCAGCTGTGAGATAAACCTGAATGAAGGATACAGCTTTTGTTCTGGTTATAGTAACCTTTGCTGTCATGGTCACCTCCCCCCCTGCTTTGCTGGCATGGTCACCTCCCCCACCCCCCTCCCTGCTTTGCTGGCATGGTCACCACCCCCACCCCCCTCCCTGCTTTGCTGGCATGTGGTGGGGAAGAAAAAAAGATGATAAACTAACCTTCAATCTAGTGAAGAGACCTATAAAACCAGCCATTTGATCATCTTCTGGTGACATCACTGCCCCTCACTGGAGGGGTAAGGATGTCCAGGAGGACAAGCCAAGTGTAAGACTTGGGCTACACTGGTGGATGGGAGGAGGGTTGGTCACTGTCATTGGTAATCTGTCGCCAGCATGCTATAAAGAAATACTAGTGCGGTGCCCTACAAATCTGCCACAGGCAGCTTCAGGACCCTCAGATATATATTTAGGAATGATACATAGCTAGAACGTGACCCTGTGTACCTGTAGTAGTCTGATGGAGTGATGTTCTCCTACCTCTGCAATGTGTGGCACCCCAAAACGGAGCTTCTCCTTGTATCTCTCCGGTAAGAAAAACAAAAGCTTTGGAAGAACGAGGAAGACCGTGCGTGGGTCAATGTCCTCTCCTTTCATTGGACCTAAGCCAAAAAAAAACCAAAACCAAAAACGACACAGCTTGGTAAGCCACGATGTCGGTAAATAGGATTTATATTTTAACAAAACACCGAAAATATGAATTTACTTTAATAAAACAAAGATATCTACAGTGTTTGCTAGGTGTCCAACAGCCATGGTCTTATTGGCAAACTAAATATTAATTCTGTATACGGCAGGCTTCCCCAAACTCCCGCGCTCCAGATGTTGCTGAACTACAACTCCCATGATTCTCAACCTATTTAATTCATAGAATCATGGGAGTTGTAGTTCAGCAACATCTGGAGGTCCGGAGTTTGGGGAAGCCTGCCGTATACAGTCAGAATAATTATATAAAAACAGATAACAGCTAGATACCTGCACCGCCATCATCTTAAATGGTCACACCAAGAACCAGAATAACTTTGGATAATTGCCACAGTAAAGGTGTAAAGACACTCGCATGTCCGATCTCCTAAACATCCAGGGTGTGTGGGCAGCGTGCATGCATCGCACACACCAAAGTGCATACATAGAAGCTCGGAAGAACACAAAGCTTCACAAAAAAACAGGGCTGTGTACAGTTTTTAGCAGATGCTATGATTGATGGCAATTAGTTTCACTCATCCTATGTAATGAGTGTAACTGCAGCTAGGGGTAAACTACATATCCCATAAATCCCTGCTAGGCAAAATGTATGGGGTGAAAAAAAAAATAAAAAAAAATATCCCTATAAGACCAGAATGATCCTTGTATTCAGTGAAAATCATGTGCATTGAAAAATATATAGTTTGGGCAGTGTTTAAAAGTTCATATATTACCAGAGAATATACAAAACAAATATGCAAAAATAGAAAAAAAATAAAAATAAAAAGTCACTACATTAAACTAACAATATGAGAGTTGTTCTGAAAGTAATGCCAATTTGAGATTCCCCCCGAAATAATTAACTCAAATGCAAATATAAAGAAGGTGAAACTGGTATTGAAGACAGAAACAGATAGTGGGAGGCCATCAACAGCTGTCCCAGATAAATACACACACATGGTGGACGAATTGGATTGGGCAGTTCAACAGTTCTCAACACACATTTAGTAAAGCCAACAAGAAAACATTTTGGGAGAATGTTTGCACTTGCTCAGTTAAATAAAGGAAAGAATTATAGGGCAGAGCTTTAATGATACAGGTGAAGTACCCCATCAGATGCTGGTAACGAAGTGTCACAAAGACTTTTACAAGTGGGTTCAGCAATGGCACAGATTTATCGCCACTAGATGAGAAGAATTTGAATAGTACCATGTAGTAGATAAAGCGTTACTCTAGTTCCACACGTCTTGTGTTTTTAATAAAGGAATTATGCCCTGACAGTCATTACTTTCAGTACAACCCTAGCACATTGGAAATATAATCCAATTTAAAAATAAAAAAAATAAAATACATAAAATGTAATCACCAGTATTTTATCTTCTAAACCGTTTCTCCTGGTACAGAACAGAAATAGTGCTACAGGTTTGTGGACCACAGAGATTGGAAAAAAATTGTCCAGAAAGAAAACATACTCAGTGCCACAGACAATCGATATCCTAGAGAAAACTTTACAAAAATAATGTTACTACAAACCAAACTCCTGCTCCTTACCTGTAAGCAGACTCACAAGGATTCCCACTATAACCACGGTGGTGGAGTTGTGAGCGCTGTACCACATGTAGGACAGAGAGTAGAACTTGGCCAGGCCGGTGACACTGTAACGAAGACATCAGTATGAAGACTGGGATTGTAAACTCAATACAATTTAAAAAAAAAAAAAAAATAACCTGCACTAGTTTTCGCATAAATCAAGCCATGCTAGTTTCAAGGGTCAAAGTCCAGCAACTTTAAAGCTAAGAGCAGAAGAATCCAGAAAATTTTAAGCAGAATGGTTTGTGGATATCTACTGATGTCCCTTGCCTTTAGAATCCTGATACTCTACAGAAGCACACTAAATGCAGATTATTGACAATGTCACGCATGGCAGGCTCCGCACAGACCCTGAAAATCCTCATTAATTTGCTTTATTGCACAGTAAATGACGATTATTGAAAACATCCCCGAAATATCTTCACTCACCTATTTTGAGCAGTTTTAGTGGTCAACAGGGTGGTCATCACGGCTGTGGTGAGATTGCCAACCTCTGGTATACTGGTGACATTTAGTATAGGTGAAGAGACCATGGACATTCTCGATACAAAGCTTCCAATTCCAATCCAAAAGGCCATTCCGAGTCCCGCCACTAAACCACTAATCGCACCCTAAATGTAGAACGTGAAGTCAGTGAACTCTGAACCACTAACAGACGGGGAGAGCTAGATTAATAAATGGCTATATCATTTAACGTGCTTACACCCCTTTTCACCTCGTGTGTCATCCATCACCAAAAAAAAAAAAAACTGATTAGTTCTTAAAGCAGCACTGCCATGCCAAACTTACATTTCCCCAATCGCTTCCTCTTCTCTCCCTCTCAGGATCTGTTCTCCGTTTTTCGATCTAATCTAGTTTTCTTTAAAACATAAGACAAAGTAAGGACTACTTTGTCTTATGTATTTTTCTTATGCTTGACCCGCTATGACCCACTTCCTGTAGGTCAGAAGATTTTTTTTCCACAATACTCACCCTTTCCTCCGTGATCTCACAAGGCCTGCTTTCATTATTCACGAACGTCCTGTCATTCAGACAGGACGCTGGCGAAAATACTAAATTTCGTTTTAACAGAATGAGAACAGTTTATCCATTCATTTTAGGACGACATTAAGTACTTTTCCGATGGCACGAAATCCCGATCTGATCTGTGCTGCGGCTGCATCTTGCAGCCACTTAGTAGATAGCTCCCGATACCGTGGGAATTAAGGAGCTATCTACTAAAAGGCTTAAAGACGAAGGTTGGTCTTTCAGCCAACTTTACTAAGTAAAAATTACTTAGTATTAGTAATCTGCCCCTACTTGCGATACCGTGAGTAGCGGGCCACTGGTGAGGGCCCAAAATGAAGCCTATTGTCCTCCCCTCCACCGGCCATGACCGGCAGGTGGGGGCCCTAAAAGGCCAAGGGAAGGGGAGAAACACACCTATTGTCCCCCTCATGGGCCACGGGTGGCAATGACAACCTATTGTCCTCACCCACCTATGGGCGACGGGTGGGATCTAAATGAAAAAAAAAATGTGTATATATATATATATATATATATACATATATATATATATACACATATATATACACACACATATATATATATATATATATATATATATATATATATATATATATATATATATATATATATATATATATATATATATATATATATATATACACACATACATACATACATACATATATATATATATATATACACATACACACCCCCGGTAGCTCCCTCCTTGTAATAAACTGAAAGAACGAACAAACACCGATATTTGGTGTGTGTTTGTTCGGCTGAAATTTCCATTCATTCCTTTGTCTGACGAATGAATAGACAGAATTCCTGTCCGAATTTCAGACAATAGCGAATGCCCAAGTGTTTAACTGGGCATGAGCAAGAATTTCACATCCCACAGGGGCTTCATATGCCCACTCAAAGATGGTCGGTGCCCAGGACCTAGGTCCAGGCACAAAATTAAGATAAAAAATAAGCAATATGCTTAAGGGCATTTGGGAGCGACTAGGGGGATGATTTGATGTAGTGGAGTCAGGAGGGGGGTTAAAGAAAAACTGGATTCGGCCAGGACAGTGCCGCTTTTATTCTGTACAATGGGAGTTAGATTATTATATGTGGACAATTACAGCTAGTCTTCCAGATAGTAAAAGCTCAGTTTAGGAAATGGATCAGATATTCACACGCTCTCACATCTGACCCAGAAAGTGTTCTTGTGATCTAAATGGGCACTGTTTATACAAGTTTAGCACATTAAGCCCTTGGCACACAATGACTCACTAGGACTGTCACAGAGAAAAAAAAAAATAAATGTATTTGTGCACAAGACTAGTCTTGCTGTATATATTAGAAATACAGTCACCTCCAATGAGGAGAGTAGATTCACTTCATAACAAAAAAACCAAAAAAAAAAAAAAACCATAAGATGGATCATAGAGAAGGGAATGGCCATCGCCCTACATAGGTTTCTAATGTTTCACTTAGAAGGTTTATTTTATTAAAACGTTTAAAATACTTGACTCCTACCAAAAGGGATTTGGAGCAAGATAATGCCTCTGCAGCCTTGTTGTTTGCAACCCCCGCACGTCTACTGGCCGTCAAACAGTCAGCCATGGTGACCCTCCATAATGAATCTGATGTCCAGTGTCAGTAGTTAAAGTATTCTAAGACTGGCTGCGCATCCAATGCTTCTCTATATCAGATTGCTGCAACGTAAGCTGTGTTTCCTCAGTGCTACTCTATGAGAAGCATCTGATTGGACAAATTCATCAGACTTGATGACATCACAGGAGTAGGAGATTTGGACAGAAGTGAAGAGAGTTTATAGCATAGTTAAAAGATTTTCAGAACAGAACAAAGGGATCCAGTATTGTAAAGAGAATATAAAACATTTAATAAATAATATGTGTGTTTCTTTGATATCCCACTACATTCTAGTGTCATATAATGTATACACACACAGATACAATAAAAGACCCCCCCCTCTCCCCTCAATGTAATAAAATATACACACAGATAATCAATTCATTGGTAAGAGACTCACAATGGAATTGGTGAAAGGGAAGAATATTCCAAGGCAGAAGAGACCGAGGAGGGGTCCTCCAATCATTCCAAAAATACTAAGAGCAGCCTGTGAATGTGGATTGGGAAGAAAACAAATAAAACATTGATCAAATCATATGATTACTGAAAGGTTCTGAAATTCTGCAGACAGTGTTTACATTGAATGAACCCAGACAGACACGCAAGATCAGTAAGAGTTGCTCGCTGTCCATGTTCTACCAGATGATCTGGGGCAAAGCAACCGCATGGTGATAGAATAGCCAGAAGGAAGATAATCTGATCCACGGATTCAATCACTCAGCAGTGTCAGAGTTTCAACATGTGGGCCAGGTATTCCCATGAACATTATGTTAAATGTTTTACATGGTTTAGGAAGCATGAATTATGTGCTAAACTGGAGCGGAAAGGAGTTAAAGGGGGTCAGCCAACTCCCCCTTCCACAATGAGCATTTCATAAAGACAAGCCTCATAAAACAATCACAGTGACCGTGCTGGAATTTCAACGAGCGATATACTGAAACACGGTAGAAAACAGTTTGTCTCAGTATTTTTCTTACGCTTGACAAAACGAGGATAATTGGATGTGGCAAAAAAAAAAAAAAAATAAATAAATAAAAATTGATTAACTTTGATGCAGCTACATTAAGGGGTACTTTCTCTTTCCTAGATTTATAATGAGTTTTTTTCTATCCCCAATATTTAACAAATGTTAAAATCCACACCACTGGATTTACCCCTATTCCTGGAACCGAGTCAGTCTACTTTACCTCCCAGTCAATCATTGTCATAAGCGCATCCTTTATACCTGCAGCATAACAGACAGACGCACCCCTATAGTCACAGGTTTAGTTCTACTTCAATACTGGAGATACACAGAGCCTTTCCAGTTAGTTTAATAGTAACTAGGTCTCACCTGCAGCACTGAGCCCATCAGAGAGGAAATATAGGCCATGCCAAGGCACAGGAGACCATATCCCAGAGCTGAAATAGACAAAATGATATCAAACCAAATGCCACTGTAGCCATTACAACCAGAAAAAAAAATAAAAATTAAAAAGTGTGCCTCCTCAGAAGTTGTAAGACATGCTTTGCTTGCTATTAGAATGGTTATTTTTATATAACTATAAATGTTATAGTTCGACAACATCGGGGGAGCTACATTTTACCCCTCCCAGGACTAGATTGACTGTCTAGTAATGATATAGATCATTACCAGACAATCCCGGGACATTGTAGTAACCTCTACCAAAATGCACCGGGGATTGTCTGGCAATGATAGAGGTTACTACAATTCCCCCGAGGATAATCTGGTAACGATACAGATTACTAAAATGCCCCCAAGGGATTGATCAACTGGTAGTTTTAGTAACAATACTCACCAAGGACCTTTGACAGCATAGTAGCCCGTGACTCAGACAGATGTGGGAAGTGCGGTTTAATGAAATCCTCCATAGTTACCGTTGCTAAGGAATTAAATGCAGAGGAGATGGTACTGGGAATATAATAAGTAAATAATTACTCGTACAGGTAGATATTATAATACAAATTCATATAAATTATAGATATAGTCACACACCACTGTAACAGAAGATTACCTGAGCGCTCCACTGAAGAGACAAGCAACGAACAGCCCAGGCAGACCAGGGAGATCTTTCAGAATGTCCATCACAAAGTAAAGGACCATCTAGAGCAGGACGAAGAGCGAGAATGAGAATTACTGAAACAGGAATTATTAAAGTAGGATACAGAGTGAGCATACGAAAATGACAGAAACCCAAGGGAGAAAGAATGGTGAGCACATGGGAAAATAATGCAGATGGTTTGAATCTCACAGCTCCTCACCTGATCCGGCGTGGAGATAATTTCTGGGTTGAGGATTTCATTTTTTTGGTAATAGGCGAACATGACGAGCCCCGTAATACAGCCGAAGCAGAGCACCAGCTGCTGGCATGGAAACACGGCATAGCAGGACCTGGCAAAGGAGAACAAACAGATTGCTTGGCCAAGGACAAACAAGTATCTCCTTTACATGGCACCAGGGATGGAAAGTCCACAATATCTTGGTTTATGTTCCCACATTTGCTATAAAGTCTCAGGTTTTGGAGCTTGGTGGGGAATTCTGAACAGAAAATGACTGTCTGCTTGCTAACTTAGCACTGCTGAGATAGAGTGCTATGGACAACCGATTCTGGGAGTATTAGATGAAGTCTGTTTTATGTATGTAGAAAGCCTGAACTAAACCTCTCACAGATCCAGGTATTGTGATCATGTATAGCAGGGATTTTATAGTAAAGCAGGTAGGGAGTAAAGGATGACATAGTGGGCTTATGGAGCAAAACAGATGTATTTATGAATATTACTTTTGGCAAAGAACAAAAATAAAATTGCCACTGTAGTAAGAATGCCCTACCCCAATTTGTAAAATCACAATTTAGTAGATATGCCCCAAGGAAAACATGCATTTAATTCTGTATTTATACGAAGGAGAGTAGGGGTATCTAAAAAGCTCACAAAGCTGCATATCTCACATCCCTCCGTTCTATCCCCAGCACAGACCTTCAGTGCACCAAATATAGGTGGGAGTCTGAGAGGTCCTTGTAGGAATGTTAACTCACCTGGGCTAACAGTAACCCAACCTGGGGTGTGTCTTTACTCCACCAATGACTGGTCTGTATAAGGTGGCAAATTACAGTATATAATGCGATGACTCAGTAGAGAGCAGTCTGCTGGTCGGCTTTAAAAACACCAATTAACAATCAATGGTTTATTGATTAAGGATAGCCTATTAGAAAGGAGAGGACAACAATCCAGGATTGAGAGGCTGAAGGTGTTAAAGTGGGCCAGTCATTCACTACATATGGATGGAAAGCTTGGCTTCAGGAAATTTATAGAAGGTCACGTTATTCAGCGTTCTAAGTCTATCACTGACACTCAGTTCCAGACTAAACTCAGACTGGAAAGTAAGTCCTCACACCATAACTACTTCATTCTGATCAAGTTTTTATTGTGCCTGGAGTAGTCCTTTAAGACTAAAAATGTTAACTGGAATAAACATCCCCTGCAAATAAGACCCTAGAGAATATATTTTTTTGAGGGTTTATAAGTGTACGTTTTTTTTGGAGGGGGGGGGGACAAGATATGATTAAGTTGAGAATTTCCAGGTGTACAGTCGATAGAAGTCATTGTAAATCATCCATCACTCACAATTTGGCCTCCCTCTCTGTGCGGGAGCTGAGGTATCGCTGCACCTGGGCCTGATTCACCCCGTACAGAGACAGCATCATGAAGATTCCTCCAATACCGAGAGACCAAATAGAATGGCGTGTAAATGGGTCCGGGTTCCAGCTACAAAACAAACAGTGGAGGGAGACCATGAAATACATGCCAATAGCAGTGCCCTAAACCACAGTTCACCAGTGAGCTTGTTTGTGGGGTTCAGAAAAACATATTTCTTTCCTTTAAAAAACACAAAGCATTTTTTATTTTAAAGTTGCTTGTGCCTTTCAGGGGGTCTTTGCAGGGTGCAGTGGAAGGTAGGTTTACTTACCTGAAGCTGTCCATCATAGGCCCCGCCATCTTTTTCCTGAAAGCCTTGTTCAGTTCCCGGTGCTGTACACTCGCGCATGAGGTACACTTGCAAGAGTACAACACAGATCTATGAAGGATCCCGCAAGACCTTCCATAGAGGACATCTTGCGATGAGAGACTATGCTTATATCCCACGGCTGCTCCGATTGAGAAACTATGGCTTTTATCAAACGCAGACTTTACAATAGGACAAAGTGGTCTCAGCTTTGTTGTAGAAATCTTTGGATTTTGCTGGAATTTCAATTAAATCCCAATGCACCGAATATATTTATATATATTAAAATACTCAAGCTTACATAGAGTCTGCAAGGTTCACTGGTGAGCTTGACAGTCACATGTTGCTACTGGGACTGTGACCCTGCTCAGGTTTGTTCAAATACCCTCTTTTATTCACCAAAACATTAAACTGACAGAGCTCAGCAATGAGTTAGAGTCTAAAAGGGAAAAACGCCAGGAAGCAAAGAAGATAAACGTGAGAAAAAAAAAACAAACAAAAAAAAAACAACCCATCAATGAAACGTTCTTTCAACCATTAAGGAGATGTAACTCCAAGGAACACAAGCATGAATTTTTTTTCCTGCAGGTCATTGGTGGTGGATAATATGTCAAAGGACTTTCGCCAAGTTGTAGTACAGGGAAGGCATGTGCCCAGCGTGCCAGTCACACGACAAAGCTGCCTGAGCGATGGTCAGTGTCGGAGCGACTGCTATTGTTTCAGACAGCCAGAAAGGGGTTTATTTCTATTGAAATCTGCACTTTAATAAAACGGTCACGAATAGGACAAACCACTTCAACAAGCTACCACAGAGGTAGTAATGAGAACATTTGATATGATTACAGAATGTTTCACATGAACAGATTTTCTGAATGTTTGTTAATTAAAAAGTTTCATACCCAGCAGAGGTGGAAAACATTTAAAAAAGGGACAAATAAAAAAATAAACGAATTTAGTAAAAGTTCCAGAGATAACATTGTCCCAGCGAGCAGCCCAGGACAGCTATACGGAGACTCGAATTAGCAAGGCAAGTAAATTCACAGCGGATTGCCAACACTCACTTTATGCCAGAGATCTTGCCATTTTCAGTGGCGATTTGCCACACTTCGCTGATGCTGCCCACTTTCATGGTACCAACTATAATCACAGCGAGCTGTCCGGCAAACATCACCATGGTCTGGATAACATCTGTCCAGATGACGGCTTTCAGACCCCCCTGGTGGGAGAAGAGAGGATCGTCAGATTACTGCCAGCCAGATCAACTGGTTCTGCAGAAACAGGTCTGAAAACTAGATCTACTAGAAACACAGACTGTCCATTCCATGGTTAGAGTTCAGCCAGAATGTACACCAAGACTTTTATTTTATTTATTTACAACACACATTAGAACATAGTCCAAGTTTCCACACTTCATCCTATAATGAATGCGCTCATTCGTAAAAAATCCAGTAAGTACCTGAGCAGCACGCTCACTGCAGCCCCCCACACCTCCTATAACACACACTACCTGAGCAGCACACTCACTGCAGCTCCCCACACCTCCTTTAACACACACACACACTACCTGAGCAGCACGCTCACTGCAGCTCCCCACACCTCCTATAACTCACACTACCTGAGCAGCACACTCACTCCAGCTCCCCACACCTCCTATAACCCACACTATCTGAGCAGCATGCTCACTGCAGCTCCCCACACCTCCTATAACACACACACTACCTGAGCAGCACACTCACTGCAGCTCCCCACACCTCCTATAACCCACACTACCTGAGCAGCACGCTCACCGCAGCTCCCCACACCTCCTATAACCCACACTACCTGAGCAACACACTCACTGCAACTCCCACACCTCCTATAACACACACTACCTGAGCAGCACGCTCACTGCAGCTCCTCACACCTCCTATAAAACACACTACCTGAGCAGCACACTCACTGCAGCCCCCCACACCTCCTATAACACACTGCAGCTCCTCACACCTCCTATAACCCACACTACCTGAGCAGCACGCTCACTGCAGCTCCTCACACCTCCTATAACCCACGCTACCTGAGCAGCACACTCACTGCAGCTCCCCACACTACCTGAGCAGCACACTCACTGCAGCTCCCCACACCTCCTATAACACTGCAGCTCCTCAGCCTCCTGCAGCTCCTCACACCTCCCTATAACCCACACTACCAGAGCAGCACAGCTCACACAGCTCCACACCTCCTATAACCCGCTACCACAGGCAGCACACTCCTGCAGCTCCCACACTACCAGAGCAGCCACTCTGCAGCTTTCCCCACTACCTGAGCAGCACACTCACTGCAGCTCCCCACACTACCTGAGCAGCACACTCACTGCAGCTCCCCACACTACCTGAGCAGCACACTCACTGCAGCTCCCCACACTACCTGAGCAGCACACTCACTGCAGCTCCCCACACTACCTGAGCAGCACACTCACTGCAGCTCCCCACACTACCTGAGCAGCACACTCACTGCAGCTCCCCACACTACCTGAGCAGCACACTCACTGCAGCTCCCCACGCTACCTGAGCAGCACACTCACTGCAGCTCCCCACACTACCTGAGCAGCACACTCACTGCAGCTCCCCACACTACCTGAGCAGCACACTCACTGCAGCTCCCCACTCCTCCTATAACACACACTACCTGAGCAGCACACTCACTGCAGCTCCCCACACTACCTGAGCAGCACGCTCACTGTAGCTCCCCACACCTCCTATAACACACACTACCTGAGCAGCACACTCACTGCAGCTCCCCACACCTCCTATAACTAACACACACACACACACACACTCTGACCAGCACACTCACTGCAGTTCCTTGGATCTTCTTTAACATACAGTTAAAATTGCTTATTTCAGGTCCCCAGAAAGTTTCCATGAGCATGAATTACACAAAATGACTAAAAGCTCACCAGTGTAGTGTATAGTGTACAGACCAATCCCATTGTTAACACTGTACCCCAGAGGCTAAATCCAGTAACTGCAAGAAAAAAAAACAAAAAACAAAAAAAAAAAAACACATAAGGTACATCATTGTATCAATGTAACAAATAGTCAAACACTACATTTAATTCATTACAATAACACAGTTAAATAGATACAATCAATGGCACGATAAAGGCAAACCCCCACAATGGCAGATCCACATCCATATAAACAGCTCAACGAAACATGAGGATATAACGGGGTAACCTGTATCATTCATTACATTTGTCGCCTCTCAATTGCAATAAAGGAGTGTATTCTCCCGTAACACTAAAATTTGCTTTTCACAAAAATCCAGACAACTAAATTTACAGGGGATTTCCAAAAATTAGATTTGGTTTTAAGAGACACTATGGACAGCTGCACAGCTCGGCTCATTTGATTTTGTTTTGGCCTTTGTAGAGATTTCATACTGTAATTGTTAGCTGAGAGGAGGCAGAGTGCAGAAGGGGACAGCCAGGAAGTAAGTAAATATAAATATATATATATATATATATATATATATATTTTACTACTACAAGCAGTTCTTTGTTGTATATCTTTAGTTTACTATGCTTTATTTTTTGCAGATTTCAATAGGAATTGGCACTTTTATAAAGAAACCTTATCCTAACCACCTCCGGCCGTCAGACAAGTTTTCCTGGTCGGTTAGTTCAGTTGAGATAAACTCAAGAGGCAGCAATTGCCCAGAGCATCTGCCTTGCAAAGACATCTCATTGAGCTGCATTGGGAGGTCTGTGATTGGACAGCCACAGAAAGTCTGGGCGGGGTTAGAAGGGGATGGTTTGCCAAGACATGAGAACTACAGATTTCTTTTCAAAATGTATTTAGGTAGAACCTTAATTTAAACAAAAAAAATACAAGCATGTCTTTATTGGGCTATAGCTACTAAACAGAGAACATTTAAACCATTAGGTTCCAGCTCACATGTTAACAGAGTTTGTTGAGTGCAGAGTTTGGCTCTTGGGAAGACGCTGTACTCTGCAAGGGCCTGACAATCAATGCATTTAGCATTCACTCATAGCTTCCTTTCCCTGGTGCATTTAATAGAAGAGCTTTCTGCCATAGTTACCTTGTTCCCTTTCAAGAGTTAACCTGAGTGCAATCCAATCCCTGCTCTCTGTGGTTTGTCACCCAGTGCTATGTGGTTGGTGTGGAGTGTGAATAGGCTACACAAAGGGAAAGACCCTCGCAATATAATCCTAACGCAGCCCCCCCCCCCACCAAGCCCAGAGTCCCTGTAATCTTCAATTACCACATTAGTAAAAACCAAATTGAGGGGCAGTTCGCCTGTAAATGACATTATCTGTGTACCTATGCAATGATACCAGCAGTATTGTGTGTAATAACCAGATCTCCGCTATACGGGGGGCTGCCACACCTGATTACAAACCCCCTCTCCTGTAGGATGTAATGCTATAGCCATTACCAACTACAATAGCGATGAGAGTACCTGCATTGAAAGCCAGTGCCGGCGCATACAGGACCACACCCATGTAGATCACCTGCAGGAAACAAAGGGGGTTAACAAAGGGTTCACAATGTGCGCTAAATATTTAACCCTATGGTGACTGATGGCGCAGCCATGCAAGCAAGCACAGAGATAACAGAGAATGAACGTCCAAACAAATATCTAAAACATCCGCGGTGAATGGATGGACACAGGGAACGAAAAATAAATGAAGGAAAGTCAGTTTTCACTTTTTAAATAAGTTATTCTGCTTTCAGTCTGGAAAGATCCTAAAGGAACGCTACCATGACGGCTTCCTTCAGTTCCCTTTTTTCTCTCTGAAGAAAGCTACATTGAAGCCACAGCGAGAACATTGGAGGTTTCATTTGATGAGAGACCAATTAATACACGTTTCTTGATCATAGCAGGCAGACCATCATAAAGCAGTAAGTGGGAATAATGACGTCACGTGTGCAGGTAAAATGGTATCAATCAGCACCTGCCATTTACATTCACCTCGTCTGTTATATTCCATATACCAACTACAAGTCAATTATTCCCATTTTATAAGCTCTATGGAATATGTTCGAATAAGAACACGTGACTGCTCTTCATTACCCCCTCCCCCGGTAGATCATGGGGGGGGGGGCAGGGGAGTACAGATATAATTTTAATTTCTAGTTTGTCCTGCTCTTCCAGTTGGACAAGGAGTAAAAGTGAAGACACGAGGGATCTCCGCAGTCAATCTAAAGCACAAACACGTATAAATACAAAATCAGAGAATCATGCTAAAGCACGGATTTTCACCCTTCGTCTGACCCCAAGAGTTTAAAGCACAGTTAAAATTGAAGTGAAAATTGTAAGTTGCAGCACAATCAGCTATCATACTGTTCTACGCTTTTAACCGTAATAAAAATGGATGTTTGCCATCAGCTCATTTTAAAAACAGGTTTAGCTCTGCTACATGGCTTGAATTCTATCCCAGGTTTAAAGGTCAATGGGTCATAGATCCATTATTAGAATACATTATTTAACCAGGAAGGTGCCATCTCCGCTGTCCAAATACGTCCAGTGGCTGATTAAACAACGTTCGCAGCAAGGCAGTCTAAGGTTTCATTGTCTGTCCCCATCACAGTGAGATTGTAGAGTAAACAGTAAAAGAATATGGAAAACATCAATGTAGCAGTAAAACAAAGTTATCATAAAGGAATCATTGTAGGGTCCCATATTTACCAAGCAGTACATTAAAGTATGAATATTAAAATCTAGCGACACTGCAACCTTTATACATTTAGATTGAGGAAATTCAAGTAATGGGTAATTGCTTTATAGAAGTTATTTATATATCTTCATATCCTCCAATCCATAACTCACCATCTGGAATATAAATGTCGCTGTTCCACAGATCCGCACGGCTTTACCGAATCGCAGTTCGAGGTACTGCAAGACAGAGGGGTGCAGGAGGATTTGTTTATGTTAGTTGTAGTTACACAATTGGAAAAATAAAATCAGAATTTTTCCCAAGTTAGTAAATCACATTGCTTTCAAGAAACATGAAAAGAAGGTATAGAGTGATATGTACTAAGGTCTGATAAGCAAGACTGCTTTTGGTTCATGTAAGGGAGAGTGGGGGATGGGGTGGTGCTGGGTGAAGGAGAATAAACAGACATGGGAAAAGTAAAAAATAAAAATAAAATTAAAAAAAAACCCTAATAAGAGGATCGAGTGTGTTGGGCATTAGGAAAGGAGAGCGAAAAAGCATTCAAACATTTTCAGTGTATTAAAGGACCACTCTAGGCACCCAGACCACTTCAGCTTAATGAAGTGGTTTGGGTGCCAGGTCCAGCTAGGGTTAACCCATTTTTTCAAAAACATAGCAGTTTCAGAGAAACGGCTATGTTTATCAATGGGTTAAGCCTTCCCCCCATTCCCTCTAGTGGCTGTCTCATTGACAGCCACTAGAGGCGCTTGCGTGCGTCTCACTGTGATTTTCACAGTGAGAGCACGCCAGCGTCCATAGGAAAGCATTATAAATGCTTTCCTATGTGACCGGCTGAATGAGTGCGCAGCTCTTGCCGCGTGTGCGCATTCAGCCGACGGGGAGGAGAAGAGGAGGATCGGAGGAGGAGGAGAGCTCTCCGCCCAGCGCTGGAAAAAGGTAAGTTTTAACCCCTTTCCCGAGCCGGGCGGGAGGGGGACCCTGAGGGTGGGGGCACCCTCAGGGCACTATAGTGCCAGGAAAACGAGTATGTTTTCCTTTCACTATAGTGGTCCTTTAATGTTTATATTAAAGGGACACTCCTGACACCATAACAACTGCTGCAGTCTAAGGCTTGAATAACAAAGCAATATGCGAGTTAGATCTGAAACAGGACCCAAAGCTGGGTTCCCATGCCAGCTGCAATGACTCCCATTTGGTTGGAACAGACATCAGACCTATTGATTACTGTAGCAGCTTCGCATCCCCCAACACAATGGAGACCCCCTGATGCTCAGAAGATACAGCGCAATGGAACGCTTTGCAGAATTTCAGTAAATGTTAGAACACAAGTCAAAATATGTGGCACTGAACGAATTATACAAGTGAAAGATGAGCCGCAAATCTACAATCATGCACACAGATCAAAAAGAAAAGAAAAACTGTTAAGTCAATAAAATGACATCTAAATAAATAGATTATAAAAAAACCCAGCAAGATAGAAAAAGCATACCATGTGAATTTATACAGGAACCCATGGGTAGGTTAATATTGCATACCTGAGGATTTTATCTGCAGAGTGGCCCAATTTAACCTGCCCTGATACAATATACGGCAATGAAACTAGGAAGTTTTTGCTAGCTACCTCTTTCACAAACTTTTAGAAAGAAAGCAAGCAATGCATAGAGGCCAAGTAGAAGACCGGCTCCTTACCTCGTAGGTGCTTGTTAACCGTAGACGGTAGAAGATCGGTATGAAGATGTGAGCAGGGACCAACAGACCGATGATGTAGGAACAACCAAGGAACCAGTACTCTGTACCAAATCGGTACATCTCTGAAGGTACTCCCAGGATTGCCACTGCTGACTGGAACGTGGCCAAGAGAGAAAGGGCTACTGGAAGGAAGCCCATGCTGCGATTGGCCAGCAGAAACTCCTGTGTGGTGCGCTGCTTCCCACCGCTCAGGGCATAATAAAGTCCGATGCCCGAGGAAAGGACCAGAAGCAGAGCAAAGATTATGTAATCTACGGCAGAGAACCTCATGATTACAGGTTGTGTACCAGGCAGATTCAAACTGTTCAGTCCACTCTGACTCCTAGTATTTGTTTACAGACCGTGGTCGTAGTCCAGAATGGAGCTGGACCATTCTGTTGGTCATCCTTTATGGCTGTATGTGGGGCATAATGAGCAGTTACAGCGCAAATTGCTCTATTAAGCTGCTTAGCCGATGTCACTTTCATTACAGTAGACGTCTATTTCAAATTGCGTCAGTTCCAAGCATAGTATGGTTCTTTTATGGTTACTGGATCTCTGAAAGCCTTTGCCCCATCGTTCTGTTTTAGTGAAGACAGAAAGGATCTGCAAGGCTCCCGGAAGGCAGAAGATTGGAGCTCTGGGGCTGCACGCTTCCTTCAATGTGAGGAGTACACTGGAAGCCAAGCAAAGTCCTGGATTGTAGATTAATCACTTCTGTCAATAGAAAGAGGAGTCAGAGTTCTCTTACTGATTATACTGTAATTTAGTGTTAGAAATTAGGTAGTTAATATCTTACTACTGGCAAGATGAAGGTAAATCAATGCAAGAGGTTACAGATTAAAGTACAATGGAAGGAGCAGCTGCTATTACCTCCCAGAGTAAGGAATAGTAAACTCTGCATGGAATAACTATACAGGATACAGAGACTGTGGAACATGTGATCAAACATAACATCACGGGACTCCCAGGAGATAAACCAATTATTTGATTTAAACAAAAAAAAAAAAAAAACCCACCATATTTAATGAAATGCAGAGAGGGGACACACAAGGAATTGACATGTCCTGACCAGAGTGCTAGAACGCCAATATTTGGGGTTTGTGTTGAAAAGTAGCGAAGCACTGTGTTCTGCATTTAATCGATAAAAACACTTTTTGAATTGTTGATCTTAGAACTAAACATGCAGTCACTGACTAACAAAAACCATGAGATTTAAAGGTTTTCGTAAACGTAGTGATTGGGTTAATGCTTAGCATTGGTGTTAAGGCAGCACTGGGATCGGTACATGCACCAGTGGGGGGGGGGACAAGAAAAAAAAAAAAAAAACGAAACGAGAAACGAGAGAGAGAGAATGAATAACTGGCCCAGAATTAGACATGTGTCCGGGATAAAAATTCTAAATGTTTAAAGCAATAAGGGACATTTTTGCGTGGATCTATTGGAACCAGAATTAGTGGGTTCTATAATAGAATACACCAAGGTTATTCACAGCAATTAAATAAAATAATGCAACTTTATGTATCTGTTAAAAGGTAAAATATTACAGAGTTTGTGGCATAGTGTCTCCACAGAAAGTGATGGAAATTCCTAGACACATACATTGCACACTTAATGTCACTACTATTAAGAAAAAAAAAAAAAAAAATTTAATATGTATTTATTTTTTAAGATATATTTTATTTATAAACTATGATATAGATGTAGACAACCCTCTTACATTTTCTTTAAAGATGTCCAGAACATTCTGTGATGTTTTTTGTGGGTATCACTGCTTACCCCATACTATTTGGATAGCCTCGGACAGACTTAAGGCATGTTTAGCGCTGGTAAATGTGGGATGTTCATCTACACAGAACTCATTTCACCATAACCACTTTCCAATAAGACGGACACGGATGGACTGCAGGACATGGCTGGGTAGGACCTTTAATGGCCAGTGACGGAAAGAATAGTTGCTATATATAAGGATTTAAACAAGTCTCTGAAACCACAAGTAATAGGTCTGCAAACAGCCATATGATCGCGCCAGAACACAAATATAGTATTTCTGACGGACCATCAAACAAGAGTATTTTCCAAATTTCTCATTAGCTCGGTAAACCCACTGTCCCGTGCTGGTTCACTTCAAATCCTGAGCCCAAAGTAATGCGGCAGAGTCGCTGGAATGTTAAAGAACATTGAAAGCTGTGGATTATCCATACAAAGAACTCCCAACCTCAGGATTTATGTTCACAGCATGTATTAACCATTTACACTTCAAAAGACAAAGTAAAAAAAAAAGCTGATAAATGTTTTACTGCAACCATAACCTTGTGAACGGTGATTACCTCAACACCCTCTCACCTACCTACAGGATTGCCCTATGAAAACTGAATCTGCTTCTCTCTGGGGGCATTTAATGTACAGAGCTGGATCACAACGTACAGAGTACGGACATATACCATGCCCAGCAATTCTGGGAAAAGGTGGCCAATTCATTCAATGCAGTATGGGTTCATTGAATACATAGCCCAACTGGCTAAGGATGGGAGTGGGGGGAGAGAAGTGAATGGAACTACTTGGCAAGTGAACACTACTATTAAAAATAAATATATAGAGGACAATAGTAGGAGAACCAGGATCAGGTACAGTGGAATTGTCACGGATTCCCTGACAATTATCGAACCCTGGAAAATGGAACCCCAAAACCCACTTCAGGTAAGGGATTAGTCATATGGGTACACAGTGAACACAAGCCAGACCAATGCTTTAAAATAGCGTTTTAATGTTTGGATATATGGACCCCGATTCTGGAAGTCCTTACCATTATGTGGAACACATGTTTGGGGGTGCATGCCTTCAAAAGCCTGTGAACTGTAACCCGTCTGACAGGTTTCCCAAACATTGGTTTATATGAGCAAACAGGTATCTCTGGTTTAATGCATTCAATCTAGGATGTGCTCAGGTAAATCCAGTTCACATAATGTTTAAAGGAGGTAGCAGAGTTCACGGGTCTCATACAGTAACTTATAAACCATCCAGATATGGGATTATGGTTATATTGGAGTCAATATACAGCTGGCAGAGTTACTTAGAAATAAAATGGCAAATCCCTGATAATTATTAACACAGGCGGTATTAAAAGTCCCTGCAAGGTGACAGTTTTACCGATGTGGTTAACGCTTGCAACGCTGCAGTAATGCACAGACAACAGCCCTGGCAATCAAAGGGTTAAGTACTGCAGAGAGAAAGCCGTCAAATCCATCAGCTTCATGTCAAAAGCTCCACAGGTGGCTGGCACGGCTAGGGGTGTAATATACTGTGTGCGCCAGCAACAGATGGCAAGTCTTACGGGTGACTGCATTCCATTAGAGGAAAATTATAGCATTAGGAATACAAACATGTATTCCCTCTAACGGTTTAGATCCAGGTTTTACCAGCCCTTTTTCCAGTACTGCAGCTCACTCCATCTACCCATTTTCATTTTCTCATCCAATATAGCTCATGGAGAAGCATTTTGGACAAGAAATGCAATCATCCAATCAAATGCTTCTCATGGAGACCAATGCTATCCTATGACCAGTATTTCATGATGTTAAACGTTGAATGTCACATGACAGTCAAACTTGGTCATTGCAGTGAAAGCTCCCGCTAGTGGTTGTTCGTAAAACGTACCAATAGACATCTACTAAACAGCAATGTTACATTACAGGACGAATACTACCACCAAGCCACTGCACCCAGACCGCTTTATTGAAATGAAGTGACGTGGGTGGCTTTAGTGGTCACTGCGTAAGGATGGGCACATGCTTGAGGCAGTTAATTTTTTTTTTTACCATCACAACAACAGACCATTCAGGAAATATAATTATCCTGACAGGCAGTCACAGCAGAATAGACTTTTGAAATAACAGAGCAGCTGGAAATTCACAGATAGGATAGCATGGGAAGGAGACATCCCCAGTAACATGCTTCAATCTGTGCAGAGATGAATAAAAGGCTTAAAATATACAGACTGCCTCCCATTTCCTCAGCATTCATACTGAAGGGTATAATTGAGCATAGAGAACGTGCGTACCAGTGACGTGCGTGGGCAAATCACAGACGCTGCAGAAATCAGGATTTAACCTTTCACACAATCAGAACTGTGGATTTTCAGCAACCCTACCTGGTCCCCTGAAACAAAAAATTAAACATGTCACAGGCCCAGGATTAAAACGTGACAGAAAATGGAGTGTGAACTGATAATTAATGGGTAATAATGCACAGATTTCCATGCAGTCAGGCTGAACCAGGATATACATATAGAACAGTCTGGCCAAGATTAGTGGGAGTTAGACACAATTAGATTAATGGCTGGCTAAGACTATATGTTAACATCTCTTTAATTCAATATCTTCTAAAATGTGATCGAAGAGAAAAAAATATATATAAATATAAAAATGAAACCAAGGTAAATACACATTAATGTCAGACCTAAACGCGAAAAGACGACTATAGAACACTCCCTGATCAGTTAGACTCCATAAAAACCTCTGTGAAATGCAGAGAACGAGTAGCTACAATGTAACCGGTTACCTGCACACATTGTGTTAAAAAAAAAAAAAAAAGGTATGGTACGTCAGGGAGTAATACTGCATACGAATAGAACAGGAAACAAAGTGAGTTGCTAGCCTCAATCAGTTAGGGTACTACACTGCGTCGCAAATGTTTCAGGCCAGGGATAGGCAACCTTCAGCACAATAAATACTGACTACATGTTCTGTAATGCTATTACACAGTCATAATGCTGGCAAAGCATCATGGGAGATGTGGTGCCAAAATGTGTGAGCGAGAGACGCCTCTATAATCACTCGAGAGACTACGGCTTCTACTGAGCAATTAACTAGTAGGCCTCCATGACACGCAAAAGGTGTACGAGCTGGGCGGGGCCTGATTGCTGAGCGGACACCTACTGATACAGCTCCTGCTCTTCCCTGCAAATATTGCGGAAAAACAGCAAAACGCTGCCTGTGCACTACACATAAGGGCTACCAAACTACAGGTGACACCAAGGTGCATATACGGGTACCAAGTTTCGCCTTTCAAGCGGGATTCGCCTGAGCACTGAACGTAGCCTGCAAGCCTGGCGGCCACTCCTCCGATGCCACACAGCTGAAATCTTGATTTTGGGCCCGCTTTCCCCCTCTGGACAGGTTGGGGTTATACCGGTCCCAGGAAAAACGTTCCTATGCTCCGCGACAACACAATCAACAGGAGCTTACCGCACCAAAGATGGCAGAGGTCACAGAAGGACCCTCTCAAGTGACGGAGCGTCGTTCAACTCTCCAACAGCTGGATGAGATTTTTTTCCACAGCCTTCTGGCTCCGCATTGCAGAGAGAGACGCTCCACACTGATCTCACAATATGCCTCACCTGCTGTGAAGAGTGAAGGAGACTGCTGGGCTGACAACAGCTGACGCGCCAAGCAGCCAGGACTTCAAGCCCTAAAGGCTGAGATTCTGGCTTTCAAGCATGGCACCCCACCTACTGGGCCGAGGATCGCTATAGAGGACTACCAAACTGGAGATTATACATGTGCCATATACTCATTTCTCTGTCCTGCCTGGCATGGCAAGTTCCTGCAGCCGACAAACCCAGCGTGAAACCATAGAACCTGCCTTACTGGACACCGTACTGATTCAAACCTCAACGATCTTGCGTATCCAGTTCCAGCAGCTTGGAAGATCTGGCATCAGCTGATCCCAGGGTCCTATGTGTCATGGGGATGGCTCCTGTACTTCCACAGCGTAACGGTTTGCTATAAGCGAATTCTAATCCAACCCCGCTCGTTTGGGAGAGTGAGAACATTAGGAGTAGGCAAATCAACAGTTTGGTACACTCTAAGGCAGGGTTTCCCCAATTAATTTTTCCCGTGGAACCCTTTGACATGGTATAACACTTAGGAACCCCCAAATTGTTTTATTTATTTTTTTAAATTGGCGCCGCAGTGCAAACCATGAGCAGAGTGCAATGCGCTCTTCTACTGGCAAATTACTTTCATATCTGGTTTAAAGGACCACTATAGCTTAATGAAGTGGTCTGGGTGCCTGGTCCAGCAAGGGTTAACCCTTTTTTGTTTATAATATATAAACATAGCAGTTTTAGAGAAACTGCTAGGTTTATAAATAGGTTAATCCAGCCTCTAGTGGCCGTCTCTTGAAAATCACTTATGAATGCTTTCCTATGAGACTGGCTGAATGCGCGCGCAGCTCCTGCCGTGCATGCGCATTCTGCCGAAGATGAGGAGGAGAGCTCCCCACCCGGCGCTGGAGAAAGGTAAGATTTTAACCCCTTCCTCTCCCCAGAGCCCGGTGGGGAGCTCTCCACCTCCACTATAGTGGTTCTTTAATTGTGGACAGTTGTATTCACATGTCTGCAATTGTGTCACGTTGATTTCGATACTTTGTTTTTGTTGCAGAGAAGAAAAAAAAAAAAATTTAAAAAAAAACCCACAAGAGAATTCAGTTTCACATTAGTACATGCTGGTGAGTGGCAACAGAACTTTGCCCGCTATCACAATTATGGTAATTCTTTGCGTAAATCACCCCAAAAAGCAATAAGAGAAAATTCTTGGCTTAGTTGACTGTCAGAAGTTATAGCGGTCAGAAAAAAAAAAAAAAAAAAATTATTGTCTGGCTTGTCTTTTATGAATGGATTTCATTTAAGAATGGAAAATACTGATTAATAGATGTGATTAAATGGCGAAGATGACCTGCAATTTCATCTTCAAGAAAATCCTTGAGTGTTGAAGAATTCTAATTATTTTGCTCAACAGACGAGGTCCAAAACTGCAGCTTATGAGACAGAAAATATTTGTGTTTTTTCCTTGGAGTGATACACATACGTCATTTAAATTTTGTGAATAAGTCTGCAAGATATGCTAATTTGAATATCCACAGAGAGCTTGTAAAAAATAAAAATAAAAAATAATTTCAGATAATCCAAATTTATGATCCTGGAAATATGCAAACAACTCTTGATGCAACTCAAACATTCTAACAAGGACTTTACCTCGTGATAGCCAACGGAATTCTGAATGCAAAAGCAGAGCAGAGTGGTGACTACCCATATCTTCACATATTATTTTAAATAGTGGTGACTGTAAAGGTCGACTTTTTATAAAATTAATAATCTGGACCGATTAGTCTAGCAAAGTTTTAAATGGGATTGAAATATTTTTAGCTACCAGTGCATGTCTGTGAAGAACACCGTGAGAACTGGTGCTGGTTTTTGCTACATTGCTTATTCGTGTCACAGCGCCTGCCACCTTCCCAACCATTGCTTTGGCACCATCACTGCCAACATCTGCACATTTGTCCCAATGTATACTGTGTGTGTTCATTAACTTCTGGATACAGATAGAGATGTGCTCACCAGTGGTGAGCGTTGTTAATGTTTCACACACAAGCAAGTCTTCTGCAATCTGTTTGTTAAAATTATATCCAAAAAAAAAAAAAAAAATGAAAGTCCTGCAACATCTGTTGAGTACCCATCACATTGATGCAGTCGAGAAATTAGTTCAGTATGGATGTCATCAGCAAGATCATGATTACGGCGCAAAACTGTTGGAAAGTGGCACAGCTTAAATTTTTTTTTAAACACACACACACACAACTTCTCACTTAAAACACATGGCACTATTTCTTTTGCACATGGTTTTATTAGAGATTCCCCAATTGTGTGTGCGCTTCTCTTGCAAGTGCTATGCGGTAACTCACTCTGTAAGAAGCCTCTGTGGCTCTCATTAGCATTTTGACTTTTTACTCAAATTGTTTACTCTTGATACTCCTTTGGCCTTCGTGAAAAAAAAAAAAAAAAAAAAAGGCAATGTCTTTATCTTTGTACTCTGCATGGGTTTTGCTCAAAATGACGACGTGATTTAGCAGGTGCTAATGAACGGTTTGGAAACGTTTTATTGCAAAGTACGCATTGTGCTTCAGGACAATCTTCATTTCTGGCACTTGTGAATCCAAATGACAAGTAGCTATCATTTTCTTCTCTTTGTTTGAGAAAATTGGCCAGCATTGTGCGCTTTTCTTTGACTTGTCCCTTATCTCCGCTGGTTGAGGAACAGTAGATACAAACAATTTCAGGCATGTTTTCTGGATTTTTAGTTGCATCTCCTTTCTCAGTTTCTATAAGGGCCGAACAGGTAGAAGCAGTAATTCCTGCAGTTCCCTGCTTTAACCAGCTTTCCAAATTGATGGAGTTTAAAAAACAAAAAACAAAAAAAAAAACAAAAAACAAAAACAAAAACACCCCCCACCCTACAGAATGAAGAATACAGTACACGATATGCAGGAGAGTGTGTAAGCATTAACTGCTATACACACCACCTGATTGGGAACCCCTTATACTACTCTAAATAATACAAAACATATACATACAAATAGGTGGAACACATCTTGTTTCTGCAAAAGAAAGTAGAACATAGGGTAATATTGCAAAAATAAATGAAGTAAATCTCTATGGATCTTAGATACTCAAACATGGAGCCAAATAGATTCATATGGCTCTCGTGATCTCATGAGTAGCATTGAGAGACTCTAAGGATGTCCCCAGTCCTTCACGTAGGTTGATAGTGGTTAAAAAAAAAAAAAAAAACTAACTCACTAAATAAAAATCAGAAGAACCTTCTTCGGTATAGAAATACTATAATTCTTTATTTGGTCAATAAAGACATTTAAGTATGTGCATTAAAAAAAAAAAAAAAAAAAAAAAAAGTTAAAAAAAAAAAAATTAAAAAAAAAAAAAGTATAGGGAGATAAAGTTTAAGTCCAGTATAAAAAGTCCAGAGTTATCAAAATGGACAGTCCAATATGATACCTTGATGATGAATAAGTTGATCCGATACGCGTTTCGCCCCAGTAGGGGCTTCCTCAGTTGATGTCACAACTGGACTGGAAAGTATGCTGATCGGTCAGCCACTGGTCTTAGAAAGAACTTAAACAGGATTTTTGAGTTAGACTTCGAGCAAAAAGATTTGAACACTTTGAAAAATACAATTAACAGTGTTTTGCCTCTCACAGGAGTCTTTCAATGCCCCTGACAGATCCTTTTAATGTACCTTACAGAGAATTTCAATGCCCCTAAAAGAGCCTTTTAATGTCCCTCACAGTGACTTAGTTATGGATGCACCGAAATTGTCGCTGCCGAAAATGGGCCTAACCTGTTCCAGCCAAAAACGGGTCAAATTTGCCTAAAAAAAAAAAACAAAACAACATTTTGTAGTGCATAGTTTAACAGACATGCTTGCATTAACAATTCAGATGATTATATATCACAATGAAAGATAATAATGATAACATGAAAATTCAAGAATACTGCACTTGGGACATGGAAAGGGAGTAAAGAACACTATGGGATGGGGGGAGCAAGAACACTAATAAAGCAGTAGGGAAAAGGAGCATTAAGGAGGGGGACCACTAAAAGAAGGGAAGTTTTTCCTATTAGAATAAATACATTAAAAAGTGTAATATTAATAAAATTATAGGAAAAAAAATTTTCATCAAAGGGCATCCTGATTTTTTGGTTTCGGACCAGAATTTTCGTTTCCTTAATGTGCATGTCCCTACCCAACAGCAGCTTCAACCATCAGTTCCACTCTATCACGAGTGATAGAAAATGGCTGACGGCAGGGCGGATTTAAGATCTTGCTCCCGCGATCTCCTATTAGATCGCAAGATCTCTGCTGTTTCCAACCTTCCGAGAATAGCAGTAACGGCAGCCATCTTGGATGTGGGGAAATTATGCGGAATCCCATGCTGCCCTAAGGGAATACCAAAAAAAATATAAAGAGCCACGCTGGTGAGTTCTGCAACACAGAAAGGCCCAGACGTCAACAAAAGACAACATCGTAGAATCATTTCCACGGTTAAGAAAAAGCCCTCCACAATATCCAGCCAAATGAACAACACTCTCCAGGAAGTAGGCATGTCATTGTCCATGTCTATTTAACGAGAGCAAATACAGAGGTTTCACCACAAGATGCAAACCAACCATTCATAAGCATCAAGAATAGAGAGGGCAGATTGGACTTTCCCAAAAACAATTAAAAAAAAGCTAGCCCAGATCTGGATCAGCATTCTTTAGACAGTAGAAACTTGGATCAGCCTGTACTAAAAAAAAATAAAAAAAAAATAAAATAAAAAGGAAGCTTGAAACCGCTCATGATCCAAAGCATACCACATCATCTGTGGAGTCAGTGTGATGACACAGGCAGGCATGGCTTCCATGATGCTGGAAGATCATGAAGATTTCAGCTCCATCACCACTTCAGCCTCCCAGCCTTTGGCGTATCCCCTACCTTTGGTACGCCTTGGGTGGGGCTTGACAAATTTGCTTGGAATCTAGAAGCCAGTTTTTTTTTTTTTTTAAAAAGCTTAGTTTTAAAAGACAATATTACAATTCTTAAAATGGACATTGTAGTCACCAGAACCAATGTAGCTGTTCTGATGAATATAGCAAGTCCCTGCAGGCATTTTAATGTAAAAAAATAAAAAAATAAAAAAAATTAAGAAATAAAAATAAATAAAAAAAACCACACAATGCAGGCTAGCGACACCTCCAGTGATGGTCACTTAGACGACCACTAGAGGTGCTTCCTGATCAGCACCTACGTTCACGGTCTACACACGCTGAATGGAAGCACTGAACGTTCCACAGAAGAGAGGCTTTTGGAGAGCTGGAGTGGATAGTTTCCCTTGGGGTCCAGTGGGGATCCTGTCCCTGAGGTTCAGTTGGGCCTCCAGTCATCTTAAAGCTCTACGTGTAGTTTAGGGATGTCGGGGCCGGAGTGACAGCATATCCCAGCATCTCTGCAGGGTGTGCGATGGAGCAGAGAAAGGGAGATTACTGCTCCCTTGCCACCTCCACTCTACCCAAGCCGGACATCCGCCTCAGAGGGAACAGACTGACAAAACCCAGGCACCAGGACAAAATCTATAGTCGCTTTGGTGACCTGCGATTTGTCAAGCACTGCCTTGGGGTACGCGTCCCACTGGTTGAGAAACAAGGGTATAGAGTATCGAGATGCACTGGGGTTTAGGTTAGTAACTACATCAGTCAGTGCTCTGCTGTGGGTATTGGGTGAAATCACAACAGGATCAGTAAATTTTTAGCTCTGAATGAGGTCTTCAGGGATGGGAGCGGTGATTACAGCCAGTGAGGTTAAGCTACTGCCACCACGTTTAAACAGGGCCCAATGGAGCAAACCCAAAGGCAAGATAGCTACAATTTATGTAGTGAGTTCGTCCACTAGCACAGTGTTGTTACAGTAAACATTTTACAATCACATTTGTAAAGAGAAGCAAATATTTCATAGCTGAAGCCAATTCCCAGGCTTAAAAATAAGGCTTACATCTGCTTGCCCAGACTTGCTGTTGCTTATAATCTCATTTAAAATAATTAAAGCAGGAATAGACAGTTATGTAGCAAAGATTAAAACGCAGGAGGTCAATATACTCGTGGGTCAGCAATATTAATCCTTCGACTTCTAAACACTGAATAAATGAGCGGTACTTCTAAAGTGATATCCAATCGCTTTGATCATATTTCACCAATCACATTCTCCAGCACGATACGGTGCCAAGGATGTAATACATGATTGGACAAAGCCTGGTCCAGATAAGGCAAAAACTGCCATATTTAACATGTTAGATCGGGTCTTTAATCTGCAAACCATGTTAAGTCTGTCTTATTGTAGTGCACGCTGTAACGCAAGCGATAATATATTATTACCAAATGAAAGCACGCAGGGGCAGATATGTCACATGACAATTTCTAATTTGCTCTGAAACACATGCAAAAGCATTCTGGGGTCAGGCAGATTATCAGATCCAATACTGGATCCACCTAGATTATCAGAGTGGGAGGAGTAATAATTACAAGTTGTCTATTGGAGGCCCAGTTAAGGCACAACAGGTTAACACAAACACCTCTCTCATAAACTGCTTTACACCTCTGACATAGGTGAGAACAGCACACCTGTTACCTGTCCAGAGATTGCTCTAGGCATGTCAGTCAGCAGTGCCATAGAAACACACAGAGCAGATACAAATAGCTTGGACTCTCTCACCTGCCAGGTTAATGTGTTTAGACACTGTAATAAAAACAAACAGGTACGGTAAGCCGAGAGACACCGTTTTATAGATTGGGAGACGGGAGGATAAGAGTTCTTTGTGGAGGAGAGATTCTGCTCTGCCATTAGCGCGCATTTAAAGGGTTAACGATTCCTTGCCAATCTGTTCTATAATGAAGCTAACATTGTGTAGAAGCAGTAACATGGCGGTTGGCAGGTTTAGTCCAGTGTTACAATCCAGTAAAAAGCTCTCTTTGGGTGTCATGAGATTGATCCATAATGCAAAGATCACTAATAATCTATACAGCACAATGTCAATCTGCAGCTGTAAGGGGCTGTGAGGGGGTCAGGAAATGATATGGGATAAAATGCTTAATATGTGAAAGTTTATGGAATTAAGCGGTTTATCTCTAGGCACATGTCCCAAATTTCTATTTCTACCTAATGTTAAATTCATTAACATGGTATGTCTGGACAGCCAAACAACAGTAAAATAAACAGACTTGGATAGCTTTTAGTTATCTATTGGGTTGTGCAACAGTTCTGCTTCAAACCTCTTTGCTAGTTGGACAGAAACATAAATATCTTTAGAGTTTATGATTTGCTACCAATGAACTGGCTGAAGGTAATGGGAGTTGGAGACATCTGATGTTTCCTGCCACGGTTAACAGCAATGAAACATCTACTCATTGTCCCCCTCTCCTCCCTCCAGTATGCATGCGCTCCCTCCCTCCTCCCGGGTGCATGCGCCACTGCCCTCCGTGCATGTGCATGCGCCACTGCCCTCCGTGCATGCGCCACTGCCCTCCCCGTGTGCATGCCACTGCCCCCTGTGCATGCTCACTGCCCCCCTCCCCCGTATGCATGCGCTCACTGCCCCCCCTCCAGTATTACACTGTAAACAGAGGAGAAACATTTTCTCCAAAGTCTTAAGAAAATCTCCCTGGAGCCAGGCCAGTGATATCTGGCAGATATACCACAACAACATTCCTTCCTCACCTTCCCAATAAGTCTACGAGAACAGGAGGCGGAAACATCTGTGACAGAGTTCAGGGCTGTAAGTGCAGATTAACTAGAGAATGCACCAGGATATCCAAATTATAGCCAGCTGTGAATCCTTCAATGCTCAGCCAGCCACAGAGGTTTATAAAAATAATTCTTCCCTGCAGTCACTTTTCCTTAGCATTTTATGCACTGCCATGTGTAAGACAGTGTGAATGCACTTTATTTCATTGGAATAAATTCAGGCAAACTCAGTGGATGGCACAGCTGTTCCTTTCGGTTCCTGTGAATGCAGCCAACTTTCCCCAGCAATCCATATACTGCTGGAAATGGACGTCAGATTCCAGTCTACATTTTACCTGCAGTGTTTAAAAACAAAAACCACACTGCCTACGCTCAGCATGTGAATTAAGCAAGACAACTTAAAGGGACACCAAGCACCATAACTGCTTCATCTCATTGAAGTAGCTAGCATATGTAAACCTTTAACTATAGCATCTACGCTTGGCAGCAAAAATATGCATCCTTGAAGGGAGAATGGCATAAAGCATTATAATTATTGTCCAATTAACAGAAGCTACGTCTACTCTAGTAGGCAGATTTCCTGCACGTCACAATCTGACGGTCTGTGTACAGACAGGGTGGGCCTGTAGAAGAAACAGAATTACCTGGTACGACGTCTAGTCCAGACATACACACGGTCTCCCATAACACATTGCAACAGTAACATGGGGCATGCTAAGCTTTTTTCACTTAACTTCATTTACAGGGTTGTGAAATAGCGTCTGAGACGACAGTATCTAATAGTATTAAAACCCCAGTATAGCCATCTCTCCTGCCAAGTTACTTTTAAAGTACATGTAAAGTAGCCACTATAAAATAGCTCATATAGCATTATAAAAAAGTCCATCCATAGAGTGACTGACAGCGTAAACACATACATAAGGAACAAGAGCCATTTAAAGGGACACTTACAGGCACAACTTCAACAGGAGCTTCCGGCAGCAGGGGATGTGTACGCCTAGGTAAATTGTCAAACTCTTCAATAGTGTGACTACTTACGTTGCGAGGAGGCAAGCATAGTCCTGGCACCATAGCCAGTACAGTGACCCGAAGAGGTCATGCTACATTGAGTGTTAATTTGAAAAGTTGCATGGAGGCAGAGAAAGAAGCTTGGTAATGAGAATATGGTGTGTTCAATTCATACACTATTCATAGTTTTAAAGGGACACTATAGTCACCAAAACATCTTTAGCTTAATGAAGCAGTTTTGGTAATTAAATCATGCCCCTACAGTCGCACAGCTCAATTTTCTGCCATTTAAAGAGTTAAATCGTTTTGTTTATACATCCCTAGTCATACCTCCCTGCATGTGACTTACACAGCGTTCCTAAACCAACCAGAGTGCTCTGTGTCATGTTACACAGCGTGGGAAAGTTCTTTGGAATTTTCCCATTCTGTGTAATTTGACTCATAACTCTGATTGGTTGAAAGTAACCAATCAGTGTTATGAGTCAAACTACATAGCATGGGAAAATTCCAAAGACACAGAGCACTCTGGTTGGTTGGATTTCAAGCCAATCAAGCAGAGTGCTGTGACAGGTAAATGTAGACTTGCTTATCAAACCAACCAATTAGAGCGCTCTGAGCCCAATTGCAAGGTGTGGGAAGACTTTTTAAGCCTTTCCCCGCGGAGCGCAGTGACCTAGTTTGGTGAAGATGGATTATTTTTGTATTTTTTTATTTGATAGGTATTATCAAAGACATCAAATGGCAATTTTTTGTTGTTTTTTTTGGTTTTTAAACACAGAAATTAAGTTTTTTCGTTCCCTCACTATTTTTAGGGTGAGGGGGTAGATCTTTATTCCTTTTTTTTGGAAGGGGTTACAAGGGGCTTAGGGACCCCTAGTCACTCGGCCCCCACCCTATATCCCCCATTTACTTGAATAGCACCCCCACTCGCAGGGCACAGTTGGGGGGCGATGCTGTCCCCCCAGGCTAGTTAAGAGATGGCCCACCATTTTTTAAAGGGGGGGGGTTTATTTACTGCTCACTATTTACTAGACATGCCCCTTCTCTCAATATAGTGAGTAGGGGCAGATTAATTACCAATACCAAGTAATTTTTACTTGGTATTAGTAAAGTTGGCTCAAAGACCAAATCTTGGTCTTTCAGCCTTTTGGTGGATAGCTCCCAAATACCGTGGGAATTAGGGAGCCATCTACTAAGCGGCTGCAATCGGATTGGAATGTCATTCATTCTAATAAAATTTTGAACCGAACAAAGTACCAAATTTCGTCTTAACATGACTGGACAAACTGCTCTCATTCTCTTAGGACGCAATTCGGTAGTTTTGCCGGCATTTGGGAATATGGAGGAAAGGTAAGAATTGTGGGAAAATTTCTCACACTTTGCTCCTCCGCTGGTCATAGTGTAGGAAACCTCCATAAGAGAAATAGTCCCTACTTTTTCTTAAGTTTTAAAGAAAACTAGAGCAGACAGGAAGAAATGACGAACAGATCTTGACAGAGGGAGAGAAGAGGAATCGATTAAAGAAAGGTAAGTTCGGCATGACAGTGCTGCTTTAAGCTAAAGTTGTTTTGGTGACTATAGTGTCCCTTTAACTATCTAGCTACCGAAAAAAAAACAACAAAAAAAAAACCTACTTGGTTCTGGAGGTTTAGCACTATACTAAATGCAGAAGTTAAAAAAAAAAATAAAATAAAAAAAAATTCCTAACCAAAAGCCACATTCATGGGAATTCACGTCCCCTCAAATTGAATGCTATAAGCTGGATTATAACTCCCATCACGCTCAGTGAGATTCTAGCTAAGGTTGATGGGAGTAAAGAGATAAATCTGATCTAGGCAGTGAAGTGAGAACATTCTAAACATCGTGTGAGATAACTGCATCCACACACTTAAAATGAACCTAAACTAAATCTATAAACCAGCAGTCCGAAACACTCACTAATCAACGTCAGCTGCCACCCCTCTCTCCAACATAAAATATACTGAGTTACTACTTACCCCTGGAAGAACTCTGATACTGCAATAAGATGAAAGAACATGTAAATTCCAAAGCACCAAAAAGCGGGCCACGAGGTGCTGGTACCTGTGGTCTGTAATCGAGACTACGTAACCAGAAGCAATCTGTAGTATCGCTTGAGGAAAGTGAGACAATATACCAGGAAAGAAAGAGAAAGAGAGAAAAACCAACAACAAAAAAACCCCACAATTTTCCCGGTCCATTTTCTTTTTTTTTTTCCAGACCATGTAAAATATTGTAATTTCTGAGAAACAGGAATTTACATTTGGCCAAAACCACATTTTTATTGGCTGATGGACGGACCTAAAAACCCTCCGAAACTAAATAAGGTTTTCACGGTTAAGGACATTAGAACGTCAAAGGGACAGTTTATTGTAGTGGTTGTGGTGCCTATAGCATGTCCTTGCAGACTTTTCAATGTAAACGCTGCCTTTTTAGAGAAAAAGACAGCCACTAGAGATGCTTACTGGGTCATTTCTGCGACGTTCAGTGTCTCCACCCTCTGCATGGAGGCGCTGAATGTTCCCCACAATAGCCTCCCATTTCTTTCCTATGGGAGCGCTTCGGATTGGCTGAGATCATCCAGATTGATGATCTCATCCTTGGAGGTGGGGCCACCCACAGCGATGCAGCATGGCAGTGAAAAAAAAAAAAAAAAAGAGAAAATGAAAACTGTCTTCTATTGTAGCCGGCCACTAGCCCAAACAGCCACACCAGCACTATAGTATCTTGGATATAGTTTTGTATCCGAGACACGATTGGATTCAAGGCTTTTCTTTTCCGCGCAACGCCCCCAGTGCCTCTCTAAGCAGTAAATTATTATAATTACGGAGGCCAACCGCATGCTCCGAGGAGATTGATTTGGCACTGGTTCTAAAAGACAGTGTTTTGTTTTTTTGCACTATTTAGTATATAAATATTAATTCACCACCGACACTACAATAGACTGTAAGCTCGTTTGAGCAGGGCCCTCTACAACCTATCATTCCTGTAATTGTCCTATTATAGTTAAATCCCTGCTCTTATAATAATATTGTAAAGCGCTACGGAATCTGTTATTTAAATGATGGTAACAACAACAACAACAACAACAACACTGTCTTGAAGCCGATTGCCCTTGTTGAAGGCAGTTTAGGAATACTGTACATAGTAACAAGATACAGACCCAAAAAGTCAAGAAAGTGGCCAGCTGTGAATAGAGGGAAGGTCACTGATTCCTTTAACAGGTAACGAAGGTTAATGACTGGTCCTATTCCGTTCTATATAGAGAATAAAAAAAAGAGTTACATGCTAATCTATTAAATTATTGGTCTGCCTTATTAGAGCCAACAGGGCCACTTTTAAATGACAAGTAACAATACTAGGAGCTTTCTGAACCTACATCTGTTTTTACATACAGCTTTTAAATTATAAAAAATATACCATTAGATATCTGCAAACTGCACTGGAGTATTGCATGTCCTTAAGTAAATGTGCATATTAAAAAACAAAAAACAAAACAAAAAAAGTGTTTAGAATATAAAAAATTTCAGGTGACAATTGTCTTAAGGAACAGTACGCTGCGTGACTGCGAATATCATAATTATATAAGGTTAAGTAGTTCCCAACTGGCCTGGGATTAATAAAGCAGTCCCTAGTATTGTATAGCTGTCACGGTGTTCCCATGGATGTGTTTCTGTGCAGTGTGTATCACAGTGTGAAGGGACATGTAGGTCTCTGAGGCTGTAAACACAGACCATTTGACAGCTATGCGGCTCCTCCCAGCATGCCTACACCTGTCAGTAGCCCATTTGCTCCATTCCAGTCATAGTGCCAGAGTAGCGTGCCAATCAGTATATCACACCGTGCAAGTGTGCCAGGATCGCATGCAAGTCATTATGTCACGATACAATGCCAGTCAGTGTGCCCTACAGTTACATGTTACCATATCAATGTGCCAGGTTACTCTGCGAGAGTTCCAGGTTATGCCAAGTTACCTAGTGAGTGTGCCAGGATACTCAGTGAGGGTACCAGTCTAATGCCAGGTTACCCAGTTAGTGTGCCAGGGTTTACCAAGATACAATGTTAATGCCAGGTTACCCAGCCAGGGTGCCAGGTTAGAATGTGTGCCAGGTTTTACCAAGATACAATGTTAACGCCAGGTTACCCAGCGAGGGTGCCAGGTTAGAATGTGTGCCAGGTTTTACCAGGATACAATGTTAATGCCAGGTTACCCAGCGAGGGTGCCAGGTTAGAATGTGTGCCAGGTTTTACCAAGATACAATGTTAACGCCAGGTTACCCAGTGAGTGCCAGGTTACAATGTTAATGCCAGGTTTTACCAGGCTACAATGTTAATGCCAGTCTCCGTGCCAGGTTACCCAGTCTCCCCTCTCTCTATGCCAGCTTACCCAGGTTATAATGTTAATGCCAGGTGTCTCTATGCCAGGTTATAATGTGTGTGTGCCAGGTTACCTTGTCGCCATGCCAGGTTATGATGTTAATGCCAGTCTCCCCAGTCTCTATGCCAGGTTACCTTCTCTCCATGCCAGTCTGCCAGGTTACCTCCAAGCCAGGTTATAATGTTAATGCCAGTCCCACCTCTCTCCATGCCAAGTTATAATGTGTGTGCCAGGTTACCCTGTCTCCATGCCAGGTTATAATGTTAATGCCAGTCTCTATGCCAGGTTACCCTCTCAATGCCAGTCTCTATGCCAATATCCATGCCATGTTACCTTGTCTCCATGCCAGGTTACCCTGTCTCCATGCCAGGTTATAATGTTAATGCCAGTGCCTATGCCAGGTTACCCACTCTATGCCAGGTTACCCTGTCTCTATGCCAGGTTACGTTAATGCCAGGTTAACCTGTCTGCCAGTCTATGCCAGGTTAGAATGTTAATGCCAGTCTCTATGCCAGGTTACCCTCTCTCAATGAATGTTAATGCCAGTCTCCCCAGTCTATGCCAATATCCATGCCAGATTACCTTGTCTCCATGCCAGTCTCTATGCCAGGTTACCCTCTCTCCATGCCAGGTTATGTTAATGCCAGGTTACCCAGTCTCCATGCCAGGTTATAATGTTAATACCAGGTTGCCCAGTCTCTGTGCCAGGTTACCTTCTCTCCATTCCAGTCTGTCAGGTTACCCTCTCCATGCCAGGTTATAATGTGTGTGTGCCAGGTTACCCAGTCTCCCCTCTCTCTATGCCAGCTTACCCAGGTTATAATGTTAATACCAGGTTGCCCAGTCTCTGTGCCAGGTTACCCTCTCTCCATGCCAGTCTGTTAGGTTACCCTCTCCATGCCAGGTTATGTGTGTGTGCCAGGTTACCCAGTCTCCCCTCTCTCTATGCCAGGTTATGTTAATGCCAGGTTACCATGCCCCCATGCCAGTTTATCATGTTAATGCCAGGTTACCTTGCCCACATGCCAGTTTATCATGTTAATGCCAGGTTACCTTGCCCCCATGCCAGCTTATAATGTTAATGCCAGGTTACCTTGCCCCCATGCCAGTTTATCATGTTAATGCCAGGTTACCATGCCCCCATGCCAGTTTATCATGTTAATGCCAGGTTACCATGCCCCCATGCCAGTTTATCATGTTAATGCCAGGTTACCATGCCCCCATGCCAGTTTATCATGTTAATGCCAGGTTACCATGCCCCCATGCCAGTTTATCATGTTAATGCCAGGTTACCTTGCCCCCATGCCAGTTTATCATGTTAATGCCAGGTTACCATGCCCCCATGCCAGTTTATCATGTTAATGCCAGGTTACCATGCCCCCATGCCAGTTTATCATGTTAATGCCAGGTTACCATGCCCCCATGCCAGTTTATCATGTTAATGCCAGGTTACCATGCCCCCATGCCAGTTTATCATGTTAATGCCAGGTTACCTTGCCCCCATGCCAGTTTATCATGTTAATGCCAGGTTACCTTGCCAGTTTATCATGTTAATGCCAGGTTACCATGCCCCCATGCCAGTTTATCATGTTAATGCCAGGTTACCATGCCCCCATGCCAGTTTATCATGTTAATGCCAGGTTACCATGCCCCCATGCCAGTTTATCATGTTAATGCCAGGTTACCTTGCCCCCATGCCAGTTTATCATGTTAATGCCAGGTTACCATGCCCCCATGCCAGTTTATCATGTTAATGCCAGGTTACCATGCCCCCATGCCAGTTTATCATGTTAATGCCAGGTTACCATGCCCCCATGCCAGTTTATCATGTTAATGCCAGGTTACCATGCCCCCATGCCAGTTTATCATGTTAATGCCAGGTTACCTTGCCCCCATGCCAGTTTATCATGTTAATGCCAGGTTACCATGCCCCCATGCCAGTTTATCATGTTAATGCCAGGTTACCATGCCCCCATGCCAGTTTATCATGTTAATGCCAGGTTACCTTGCCCCCATGCCAGGCTCGCGGTCCTCCCCCCGGTGCCGGTCCGATGTCTCCTCTCCGGCCGCCGCTCGCCGTGTGACCAAGGACAGAGCCTGCTGCATGCTTATAGCGCGGGGCAGGAACACGTCAGGGAATCAGCCAATCAGCGCGCTCCGTCCGTAACGTTCTATATCCGCCCACAATCTGACTGCGCATGCGCTCCGCTCCCGGCTGCTGGCCGCCATCTTTGTTACTGGAAAGGAAGGCTCCCCAGTGTGAGTAATACACAGCCAGGTTACCCTGCAAGGAGGGAGGGAGGGGGATTACCTGGATAAACCACCTGAGACCCCAGAGAGGGGAAATCCTGCCCAGAGTCAGTATCAGAACCAGCTTACTGACTGGCCCCTGTGGACAGCCCCTGTACACCATGCCCAGCTAACTCCCACACTGTGAATGGACCCCTGGCCCCTAGTGGACAGCCCCTGTACACAATGCCCAGCTAACTCCCACACTGTGAATGGAACACTGGCCCCTAGTGGACAGCCCCTGCACACAATGCCCAGCTATATCCCACACTGTGACAGCCCCTGTACACAACCCCTGCCCCTAGTGGACAGCCCCTGTACACAATGCCCAGCTAACTCCCACACTGTGAATGGAACACTGGCCCCTAGTGGACAGCCCCTGTACACAATGCCCAGCTAACTCCCACACTGTGAATGGACCCCTGGCCCCTAGTGGACAGCCCCTGCACACAATGACCAGCTAACTCCCACACTGTGAATGGATCACTGGCCCCTAGTGGACAGCCCCTGTACACAATGACCAGCTAACTCCCACACTGTGAATGGATCACTGGCCCCTAGTGGACAGCCCCTGTACACAATGCCCAGCTATCTCCCACACTGTGAATGGACCACTGGCCCCTAGTGGACAGCCCCTGCACACAATGCCCAGCTAACTCCCACACTGTGAATGGATCACTGGCCCCTAGTGGACAGCCCCTGCACACAATGCCCAGCTATCTCCCACACTGTGAATGGATCACTGGCCCCTAGTGGACAGCCCCTGTACACAATGCCCAGCTAACTCCCACACTGTGAATGGATCACTGGCCCCTAGTGGACAGCCCCTGCACACAATGCCCAGCTAACTCCCACACTGTGAATGGACCACTGGCCCCTAGTGGACAGCCCCTGCACACAATGCCCAGCTAACTCCCACACTGTGAATGGATCACTGGCCCCTAGTGGACAGCCCCTGTACACAATGACCAGCTAACTCCCACACTGTGAATGGACCACTGGCCCCTAGTGGACAGCCCCTGTACACCATGCCCAGCTAACTCCCACACTGTGAATGGACCACTGGCCCCTAGTGGACAGCCCCTGTACACCATGACCAGCTAACTCCCACACTGTGAATGGACCACTGGCCCCTAGTGGACAGCCCCTGTACACAATGACCAGCTAACTCCCACACTGTGAATGGACCACTGGCCCCTAGTGGACAGCCCCTGTACACCATGACCAGCTAACTCCCACACTGTGAATGGACCACTGGCCCCTAGTGGACAGCCCCTGTACACCATGCCCAGCTAACTCCCACACTGTGAATGGACCACTGGCCCCTAGTGGACAGCCCCTGTACACCATGACCAGCTAACTCCCACACTGTGAATGGACCACTGGCCCCTAGTGGACAGCCCCTGTACACCATGACCAGCTAACTCCCACACTGTGAATGGACCACTGGCCCCTAGTGGACAGCCCCTGTACACAATGACCAGCTAACTCCCACACTGTGAATGGACCACTGGCCCCCTATTGGACAGCCCATGTACACCATGACCAGCTAACTCCCACACTGTGAATGGACCACTGGTCCCTAGTGGACAGCCCCTGTACACAATGACCAGCTAACTCCCACACTGTGAATGGACCACTGGCCCCTAGTGGACAGCCCCTGTACACAATGCCCAGTTAACTCCCTTAATGTGAATGGACCACTGGCCCCTAGTGGACAGCCCCTGTACAAAATGACCAGCTAACCCCCACACTGTGAATGGATCACTGGCCCCTAGTGGACAGCCCCTGTACACAATGACCAGCTAACTCCCACACTGTGAATTGAACACTGGCCCCTAGTGGACAGCTAACTCCCACACTGTGAATGGAACACTGGCCCCTAGTGGACAGCCCCTGTACACAATGCCCAGCTAACTCCCACACTGTGAATGGATCACTGGCCCCTAGTGGACAGCCCCTGTGCACCATGACCAGCTAACTTCCACACTGTGAATGGACCAATGGCCCCTAGTGGACAGCCCCTGTCCACAATAAACAGCTAACTCCAACACTGTGAGTGGCCAACTGGCCCCTAGTGGACAGTACCTATACACAATGACCTGCTAACTTCCATACTGTAAATGGACCACTGGCCCCTAGTGGACAGCCCCTGCGACCACTATTCCATTCACACAATAATCGGCATCGCAGCATGGTGGCACTGTGCTAGGGCAGCGCACGGGGGGGGGGGTTGGTGCTAGTAACGGGGGGCGCAGGAATAGGGTCACCACCTAGCATCATCTCCGGTAGCGCAGGGTGCAGTTGGCCGCACCGAGCAGGAATAGGCTCACAGCGCTGGGCGTGGAGGCACTGCCCTCCGGGGCTTTTAGTTGCGGTCGAAACAGGACCGGTCGGCAGGCGCGTGCAGCAGGCGCACGCAGCAGGCCGCGCTTCGGAGGAACAGGCTGGCAACAAAGGGTCCCTGGCAAGGCAGGTGGGCTGGGCTGGTCGCACTTTGGGGTGCAAGGAGGAATGGCGCGAGAGGTGTGACTGGCATGGTAGACGCTAGTTTCAGTAGAAGGCAGGCTTTCCCAGGGAAGTGCGGCCCTCCAGCAGATCCTGGCGACCTCTGAGGTAGACAGCCCGGGGTTGGTTGGCAATGGTGCCCCATGTGATTCCCGCTCGAGGTCTGGACACCGGTCAGACGCTGCTGAATCTTCCGTAGGGCGTTTGGTAAGTTCAGGGTCAGAGTCCTGCGGGAGTTCCATAGTTATCCGGTCCGGAGTCATAGCCCCAGGGGTGGACTCAGCGGGGCCTCAGGTGTCCGCAGCGGCTGGGGTGGTAAGGAGAGAGGGCAGGATGCCTTGCGGCCCGGCAGGCGATCCCAAGGTTATGGCAGGGGCCCAAGAATGTCTCTTCTCATTGCAGGTCATGGATTGGGTGGAATAGGGCAGCTACGAAAGCCACACAATTAGAAAATAGGGAGGTGGAAATCTGTTCAGTTTCGCTCCTACGTGCGACTGGGGATGCTGGTGTGATTAAAGTAAGGGGCTTGGGGAGTCTCTGCTTGGGTCTGTCTGCTGATGGTTCTGTTTTGTTTCCACAGTTCGAATTGCATGGATTATGGGACATTCGTATGTGTTCTTGTCTAAGAGGAGGGCTGCAGCTCGTATTCAAGGACAGCAGCTGGGCTTTCCAATCGACCAGATTGCAATTAAGTGGTTTGGTTACCATGGAGCTAGTTGGGGCGTTGTTATTGGGGCAGTGTTTAGGCTCGTGGAAAGGGGAAGGTCCCCTGATTTCCTGTTATTACATGCTGGGGCCAATGATTTGGGCCTGGTGTCCCAAAGACGAATGGTAAAGTGGATGAAACAGGATATTAACCGGCTACAGGACTTGGTCCCTGGGGTTTTGGTCGTCTGGTCCGACATGGTCCCCCGACTCCAGTGGCGTCATGCCAGGGATACAGCTGCTATCGAGTGCTGCCCAGGTAAAGTGAATAGCCTCATAGCCAGTTTTGTTAGAAAAGTCTGGGGGGAGGGGGAGAGGAGGTGGTGATTCGGCACAGAGAGATTGAGGACAGGTTGCCTGGGTATTTTCATCAGGACGGCGTCCACCTCACGGACGTGGGGTGGGATCTCTTGAATCTGGGGTTCCAGGAAGGATTGAGAAGGGCCTTATTTCTGAGGGGTGGTGGAGCTCAGACGGCTTAAGGGGTCAAGGTCCAAGCTTGTGGCGTGGCTAGAGAGAGAAAAGTTAGGGGACAAACAGGCTCTGGGGTAGTCTAAATAGAATAGGACAGTTAGGCTACTGGTGAAGAGCTTGGTTAAACGGTTCGTTATGAACCTTGGTAGGTTTCGAGCTCGGTGGTGGCTCAGAACCTGTTGTGTGGTAGGGGTATCCGGATATGCCTCTACAGTGGTTATTTAACAAAGATTGACACTTATATTATGTTCATGATGTTTGTTATTATGGTTGTTGATGTTATTTATATTTATCGAAATAATGGGTCATTGCCTTTTATTTTGGGGACATATGATGTTATATGGCAGGATGGGGGCTGGGCAATTACTTTAATTTATTGTTATCAATATTAATAAAACTGTGGAAATATTGACCCATACATCAGTGTCAGTATGTTTTTGAGGTAAGTTTTGGGGGGAGTTCCAGCTGCCCATATGGCGAATATGCGCCTGTCAAGGCAAGGACACTGTAGACTAGAACACTATTACCATTGCTAATCCAAAATATAATAGATCATGTTTACAATATACAGCACTGCAGATTATGTTAGTGCTTAAATATATTACAAATACATCTACAAGCAGCAAAATAAAGGTGGCCAAACACAAAATCCTGTAGAGAGCGCATAAGCAGATATTGCAGATAGAGACTGTAACGGCACCCCCAGGCATAAAAGGGTTAAACCGCCGTTTAGTAGATCTTCCCTTCCAGAGACACAGGCACAGCTACTGCAGAACACCAATCCGCCGAACAGGAAACCATATGAATGCTGTAAACAGCCGAATAGGTTTACACTCCTAGCAGTCAAACTGGAACAGCATACAATAAATCCCCCCAAGAACGAGACAAGGCTCCATGTTGAGGGTCAAGCAGGAACAGACAGAGCTGTGGGTTTATTGTTCTTATATACACATTCTTACACATTAGTACCACCCACAGGGTTTTGGAAAACAACCAATAAACACGTACAATACACTCAGACACTCCCACACAAAATCATCCCCTCTGCCTGTGATACAATTACCTTACACAATGGGTAATATAATTATACAGTTTTTCCACATTATTCATAACTTTAAAAATATGCAACACATTCACATAAACTTACATTTTCAGAATCAGCATACTCCAAATACAAACATACATCAAAATCATACAAATTGGTCCAGTGATTCAAAAGATAGATCGTAGTGCTTTGTGACCAAATTAAGCATGGCTTTTCTGCCCAAAACCAGTTCCACAGAGTCTTCTATCCTGGAGATAATTGGGAAGTAATCCAATTATCTCCAAGGACAGAGGCAAAACTCCATTGAACACATGGCAGCAAAAGACAATAAAATACATAAAAATATATAACTGTGCAGCCATTGCACAAAACATGTAGATTCAATATATACCCAGATAGCTCAGATCTGAGCGCACATTATTACTGAATGGCGCTCAGAGCACAGACATACAGTTCAATTGCCATGGAGCCAAAGTCTTTCCCATAGTCTTTCATTATATGGCATAGCTATCTGGGGTATCACCGCTCAAACAGGGCAAGCACCGAATGACCCGGCTTTCGTGTCTTCGCAGGGGAAAATCAAACGTTTCAATATGGGGCCATAGTCTAAGTCAAGCGGGCAACCAGGCTCCTCCAATGCACAGTGGCGAGATTGGTCTCGTCACAGAGACTTAAAAAGATACCAGTTTTATAAACTTAGACAATTTTGAAAATTAGGGGATGTAATTCAATAAGGCCAACAGACCTCATGACATATGGTGCCTGGACAAATACCAAGCATGTTTGATTTTGTGATTAGTAGTAGTATAATAGTTAGTTTAAACATTTGTGAGGCCAATTACAAAGTGGCTGACAGTACTACTAACCAGTAGAGAGGATAACAACAAGCCTAAAGGCATGGATGCAGTACATGCATAGAAAGATATTGGATATGATAAAGGACATTCAAAGAATTACATTTTAAATTATATAATTGGGATTTTTGGTCATTAATCATACAAACCAGCATGGCTGCCAGACCATATGATATATAGGCTTCACAATGCAAATTGCAGAGCTCACCATAACCTATCACCACATTGCTGTAAAGAATTTTGATTTTGAAGTTTTTTTTACAAATGCACTCTAATATCGGTTAAAATTTCAATACAGCTGCCAGCCAAACCACATAACTAATTGACCTTTACAGGTGAAACAAGCATAAGTGCATGCACATAGCAAGTGCATAAAACTAGCATATAGATAAGTTATTTACAGAAATTTTGTATTCACAGTAAAAATCTAAATTTATACATTTTTCATGATCGTCAAATTCAAAATGACCACTGACCTTGTATCCTTATGTGACCTATTGCATGTTATTGCGTAATCATGTTTTTTCACAATACGTGTTATAGTTTAGTCGTGAAATGAGTGCACCTTGCAATTGGAATGAATATGTGTGCCAAATGTTTTTGCATGAATTATAAGCAAACAACATTTCTTGAATGACTATGTCACAACAACATGACCGTGCATAGCAATATGTAAATCTGTAGCACAAATGGTTCTGGAAAAGCGGATGTTTTATGGGACCTATGACTATTTGGTTGCAAAGGAAATAGAGCACTACAGGTCTCTAAAAAAAAAAAAAAAAAAGGGGGAGAGCATGGGCATTTTACCGGGCACAAGGTTCTCCTCTCCGCCGGTGACTGCCTTCTCTGGTCCCTGGCTGGATCATCGGGGCGGAGAGTACTGGTTCGGACTCCGATGATACAGACGATGGATCACCACGACGCACTATTTCTTCAATAATGGAAAGTCTCATGTGCTCCATCATCTGGCGTTGGTCCATGCTGACCCAGGACACCACACGGTCCATTTGTGTTGTCAAGTTAAGACTCATGCGGTTGATGGCCCGGATCTGCCTCCTTATGGCCCGAACCATATCCTCCATCAGCTCCTCGATCCGCCGCATGGATTCTCCTGGGCCAGGTGATGACTCTCTCTGGAGAGGTGGCAGTGGCTGGACAGGCGGCGGAGTGATGGCTGGCTCTTGTGCAGCCACACTGTGGGAAGTCTCAGAGATGGACCCTGGGCCTGTCCTCCTCCAGGGAGCAGGCAATCAATTCTGTGGACAGTGCCGCTTCACTCACACTGTCCTCATGTGACGGGAGGACAGGTAAATGAAGCGAGCTGTACTCTTTGCCTCTCCCAACAGACTGCATTTGACCTGAAATAGATGAGATAGGCAATGTTAGTAATATCATGCAAACAAATGGATTAGGCCCTGGAGAGATAGCGCAGCTAAGCGGACAAGGGCACATGTAGGAGTGTGGGCATAGATGCATGGGATTGGTTGGGAAAGAGTGTGTGGGTGGGATTATGTTCTGTGTAAGTTAGTGTGAGGGAGGTCTTATCTCAGTGCCACTTAGGATTCGGGCCAACAAACAGCTTCCTGTCCTCCTGCTCCTGTTTGCCTGGGCCTGCAGATTGACACAGCTTGAGGGATGGAGGTTGAGCCGATCCGGTCGTCCCTCAGGGCTGCTGCTGCGCTGGATGGTGGCCGGCACCTAAGGGAGCAATTTCAGAGCATTAATGAAGGTATGGCTACCGGTGTGGGCACCCCCCGAGGCCTACCTCCCCCTGGAGCACCCCCTGCTGCCTCCCATGCGGCCCCTGCCCCTGGGGGTCGCTCCAGCACTGGCAGGCATTCCTGCCAGGCTGTCCCTGGATCCTACTCCCGGGCCCGGTTGAGGAGCAGGAGCCTGGGCCCGGGGCACCGCGGGGGCCGCGTGTCTGGGGCTCCAGGCACGCGGCCTACTACTGGGGGCTGGGATCTGAGGCCTACTGCAGCCGCGCGCTTGGCACGGCCTCCAGCCACGAGGCCTGCCACTGCCGCGCGGCCTGCTACCTCCATGGCCGCCCGGCCGGCTACTTACAGGCCGGGGATGCGGCCTGGTACCGCTGCGCGGCCTCCTGGTTCGGCTGCCGCGCGGCCTTCTCAAGTTCCCCCTCCACACCATCCGCCCCGGTGGCCAGCGCTGGATTGCGGGCCAGGGGCGGTGGGCGGCAGATCCAGGTCCCAGGTCCCCCGCGGCCGGTGAGGAGTGGGGCCGCGCGGGGTACCTTGTACCAGTGAGGAAGGCTCCCAGGGCTCTGTCTCCCCTTCCCTCCCTATTAGTGCTGTCTTTATTTTGTTTTTCTTCGGGGGGCCCCGCTTACCCTTGCCTGGTCCCCCCTCCTCTTGCCCGGTTTTCTCCCCCCCCTTCCCCTCTCTGGTGGTCTGCACCTCTCCCCTTTCCCCCCTCCTGCTCTACTCCTCCCCCCCTCTCTATCCCTCCCTATCTGCATCCTCTCTGTTCTCCCCCCCTCTACCTTGCCCCTCTAGCTTGCCTGAACCCCCTTCCCCCTCCCTGCCCCCTGCAGGTCACTTTCCTCGGCCATCTCCTCTGGGGCGTGGGCTCATCTTCTCTGCTGCTTCTTCTCAGGACACTGCTGCAGTTCATGGATCCGTCCAGCAGGTGGCGCCTGGATCACAGCTGATGTCTTCTGTGGATGGTGGAACTGCTGTTTCTTTGCCTCAGCCTTCTGTTAGCGCAGTGCCGGTGTTCTATCAGTCTGCTATACTCCGTCAGATTGCTATACCCCCGTCACTTCCGGGGAGGGGAATCAGCTGGATCCTGTGCTGCACATGCATGCTAGCACTCCTGCTACTCCTCCACAGCAAGGTCCTGGAAGGTAAGTAAAACTAGTTTTACACTTTCATTATAGTTAGTGCATTCACTAAGTTTAGGACATGGGACATTTAGGGTTAATGTTAGGGTTCAAATTAGGGTTAGGATTAGGGACTTGTTCATATTTAGTGATATTTTACATTAGGGGAATATCACTGAATTGTGCTTTCTCACACTTTATTTTAACCCTTACCCCAAGGGTTAGGGTAAGAATAGAGTGTGAGAGAGGTTAGAAGCACTTACCTAACCCTAATTTGTACCCTCACTTAACCCTAAATGTCCCGTGTGCCTAAGCTTAGTGGTGGGGTGTTTTGGTGGACGGACTTACTTCAGGTTTCGCCGCTCGACGGCTGTTGTCGTTGGGACGGGTAAGTCAGTTGCGGTGTGGCTGCTTCGTCGATGGAATCTGTGCAATTCTTGGATGTTGCGGGGTTAACATGCCCTGTCTTTTCTGCATTCTCCTAAGGTAGATGGAATGCACAGGGTAATGGTTGGGCTCCTAACACGATGTAAGGGGTTCCCAGCATAGTTTGACAAATTCTGTTCTGATCGAGGGCGGTGCAGGTTTCCGTCATTTGCCTGAAGGATGGTGGGGAGTTCAAGGGGCATTTATTCTGGTTTGGGACGGCTACGGTCGCCGCCAAGCTTGGTGTGCCTGCGCCAATGGTTCAGGGGCTCGAATGGTGGGAGTCAGGGTGGTGGGTTCCTTCAGGTTCACCCTGCTGGTCTCCAAATGGATTTCTCACCGCGGTTACGGTCCCTCCAGAAAGGGGATGGTGGGATTCTCGTATGTAATTTGGGCCAGGAGGCGGGGGCGAGTGGTTGGATCTTACGCCATCGGGAGCGGAGATTCACTGGTCTGGCACCAGTTACATGGAGGGGGTGTGGTCCTCCTCATACGGGGTCAGCTGTCCCGCCTCATGGAGATACCAGGGTTTTTTTGTCATCTCTGGGTGGAATGACATGGGTTCGGTGATGTTTTGGGTATTGGGTGCTCTTCAATCTGGACATGTTGCGCATTCTGTTTCTTCCCTAAGGTTCTCAGGGGCTAGTCTGAGGCTATCTCCATTCCTGTCGGCAGTGCGCTCAGCAATGTGACTGCCCTGGTGCGATGCCGTAAAAAATTCTGACGAGATGGGTTTCTGGGTTTGTCTTGGGGGATTCCAGTTCGCCTTAGGGTTTGGCCGGATGCAGCCTAGTTATCTCGAGGGGATGGGTGCGCTTGCTGGAGGTCGGAATAGGCCTATGTTAATCTAGCGCTGCAAGAAGTGGTGGAACAGGCCATGGCTGGTTATGGTGGGGTCCCCTGCTGATTTTAGGTGTAAAACAGCGTGGTTGTGGCGGGGGTATGTCCTTGCCAATTGAGTTTGAGTGGTTACGTTTAAGTATATGGAATGAGATGAACAAGTTTTTTTAGGTCTCAACCTCCCCTGCTTCAAACGGTTAAACATTAGGTTGCCTGAGGTTTCGTGCCCATCGAGCGTGGATAAGGTCGGCTGATGGCGGGCATTGTAAATATATGATTTTTATGACGAGGGGGGAGATGAGAGGAAGTGGTGATTAGGAACCACTGTATGTTTATTGGCAAGGACGGTTGGGTCACTGTATAACATAATAGAATATATATACAGACAGGTGTGAAATAAGTGGCGCTATATAATATGTGATTTCAATTAGTGAATATTAGCTGCTATATACACTCTGTGGGTACTCCTCACAACCCATCATACATAAACACCAAAAGAACAGAAAAAACTTGGGACCTTTCTGGTGTTTCCACCTTTTGGGTCCTTAGGTTTTTAAAGAGAGCAGCGCTATATAATAATGTGAGGTGAAATTGTGTTTTCCAATATTTTAAAAAAACACACTTACCCTCTACAATAATCTCAAGGAATGATGTATATATAAAACGAGAAGAGAAAATATATACAGATAATAGTGCAGTATATTAAAATTTTTTAGAAGAATTGTATGTAAGGTCACTGTATAACATAATAGAATATATATACAGACAGGTGTGAAATAAGTGGCGCTATATAATATGTGATTTCAATTAGTGAATATTAGCTGCTATATACACTCTGTGGGTACTCCTCACAACCCATCATACATAAACACCAAAAGAACAGAAAAAACTTGGGACCTTTCTGGTGTTTCCACCTTTTGGGTCCTTAGGTTTTTAAAGAGAGCAGCGCTATATAATAATGTGAGGTGAAATTGTGTTTTCCAATATTTTAAAAAAACACACTTACCCTCTACAATAATCTCAAGGAATGATGTATATATAAAACGAGAAGAGAAAATATATACAGATAATAGTGCAGTATATTAAAAATTTTTAGAAGAATTGTATGTAAGTGACAGATGTGTCTAAACTCACATTTTCTAGGGCCTTTTCTAGTTCTTAGGCTCTAAACTTTGAAGCGTCTTGTGTCTTTTTAGGTAGACTACACGACCTCTTTCTCCAGGTAATGGTATATTCCTCTCCACAGCATATATGGAAGACACAAATGTATCAAACTAAGTGTAGTATCTCCAATGATAGTTGTATTTTATAGAATATAAAATTCAAAGTGCTCACCTTTTCTAGAGCCTTTTGATAACTGGCTCTAAGTATACCAGCTTGGTGTCAATTTTGGGGTGACACCCTTCCCTGGAATTATTTTCAGGATCCAATGGGATGGTGTGAAAAAGGGAATATTTATTACAATAAAAAAATGTGTGTGTGTGTGTGTATATATATATATATATATATATATATATATATATATATATATATATATATATATATACAGGGAGTGCAGAATTATTAGGCAAGTTGTATTTTTGAGGATTAATTTTATTATTGAACAACAACCATGTTCTCAATGAACCCAAAAAACTCATTAATATCAAAGCTGAATATTTTTGGAAGTAGTTTTTAGTTTGTTTTTAGTTATAGCTATGTTAGGGGGATATCTGTGTGTGCAGGTGACTATTACTGTGCATAATTATTAGGCAACTTAACAAAAAACAAATATATACCCATTTCAATTATTTATTATTACCAGTGAAACCAATATAACATCTCAACATTCACAAATATACATTTCTGACATTCAAAAACAAAACAAAAACAAATCAGTGACCAATATAGCCACCTTTCTTTGCAAGGACACTCAAAAGCCTGCCATCCATGGATTCTGTCAGTGTTTTGATCTGTTCACCATCAACATTGCGTGCAGCAGCAACCACAGCCTCC